CCAAAAAACAAAACAGCTTTTGGTTTTGTCAATCTTTATTGTGTTACCTTACTTTAATTTTTGCTCCTGTATTAGTTCCTTTCTTCTGTTTTCTTGGCTGCACTGTTATCCTTTTCTCAATCTTGGGTTAATTTTCAAATCTTTTTAAAAAATATTTTATTTATTTATTCGAGAAACAGAGAGAGAGACAGAGAGAGGCAGAGACACAGGCAGAGGGAGAAACAGGCTCCATGCAGGAAGCCTGATGTGGGAGTCGATCCTGGGTCTCTAGGATCACGCCCTGGGCTGAAGGGGGCACTAAACCACTGAGCCACCGGGCTGCCCCCCCCTTTTTAAAAAAGATTTTATTTATTTATTCACAAGAGACACACAGAGAGAGGCAGAGACTAGGCAGAGGGAGAAGCAGGCTCCCTGCGGGGAACCTTATGCAGGACTCATCCCTGGACCCCCTGGGTCACGACCTGAGTTGAAGGCAGATGCTCAACCACTGAGCCACCCAGGTGCCCCTCTTCTTTTCTAATAGTTACTTCAGAAGATAAATTTCAAATCCCCCTTTAGCTATATCTCATTTCTTTTTAGAATGCCTCTGTTGTCATTTGGTTCTAGATATTTCATAATTTCCATTATAATTTTTTCTTAGAGATGCACATGCATACACACATCCATGACACATATATCCAGGATCTATTTAGATATATTTTTAAAGCTTTTATTTATTTATTCATGAGAGACACAAAAAGAGAGAGAGAGGCAGAGACACAGGCAGAGGAAGAAGCAGACTCCTCACAAGGATTCAGATGTGGGACTCGATCCCCGATCCTGGGATCACGCCCTGAGCCGAAGACAGACACCCAACTGCAGAGCCACCCAGGCGTCCCTATTTAGATATATTTAGAAGTGGGCTTAGTAAGATTCCAAATACATTTGGAGGAGATTTAGCAGTTGTTATTGCTAATTTTGTAGCATTTTGGCAAAAACTCTGGTGTTCATAAAGTTGATACTTCAGTATTTTTGAGACTATCTTTATACCCTAATTTGTCATCAGTTTTTGACAAACTTTGCAAGGTTCAAACAATATGTATTTTCTATCGGTGGGGTGCAGAGTTCTATGTATGTACACTTGATTGAGTTTCTTTCTTATAGTGCTCAAATTTTCTATGTCCTAATTATTTCTCTGCTTGATCTATTAGTATCTTCAGGGAATATAAAAGCTCGGTATGATTATGGATTTGTTAACTTCTGCAGTTAGGTCAAGTTTTGCTTCATACATTTTGAAGCTGCTGTTGTACTCTGCTGATTTAAAACTGATTTATTTTCTTGGTGAATTATCCTTTTATCATTTAGTCATAACATTTTTTATTCCTAATAACAAATTTTTTTTATTTCAAAATCTGTCTGACATTAGTATGATCACACCAGTTTCTTCTCATTTAGCATCTGCCTATATCTTGTCTAACTAAACTACTTTCAACCTCTGGGGGCACCTGGGTGGCTCAGTTGGTTAAGTGTCGGATTCTTGGTTATACTCTCTGTATACACAAAATCATAACTGCAAAAGGACCCTTTTATAAACATAGCTCTTCTTTTCTTTGCCATAAAGATTTAAATAGAGGAACGCTCAGTGCTTGAGCGTTTGCCTTCAGCTCAGGTCATGATCCCAGGGTCCTGGGATCAACTCCCACATCCGGCTCCTTGCGGGGAGCCTGTTTCTCCCTCTGCCTCTGTCTCTCTCTCTGTGTCTCTCATGAATAAATAAAATCTTTTATTAAAAATATTTAAATAATATTTGGTAGCAAATATATTTGGCAAATGACTAATGGAAAAAGTTGTTTTCGTTCACAGATACAGAAAAGGAATTAGTTGACACGCTATTGCCTCTAACTGAAGAATAATTAGGAGTTTGACATATTTAACACTGAATGATGTCTAAGAAGTGAATCAACTTAAAAAAGCAAACCAGGGGTGCCTAGGTGGCTCTGTCAGTTAAGCCTTCGGCTCAGGTCATGATCTCAGGTCCTGGGATGGAACCCGTCCCAGGCCCCAGGCTCCCTGCTAGCCAGGGAGTCTGCTCCTTCCTCTCCCTCTGCACCACTGCTGCCACGCCACGCCGCCCCACCCCCGCTCATGCTCCCTCCTCCTCTCTCAAATAAATAAATAATCCTTAAAAAAATTAAAAGCAAATCAAACCATTCAGAGCTTGTACCAGCTGACACTGAAAAATACCTCATAAACATCCAGATATATCTACAGGATAAAGGGAGATATAACATAAATTTTAGAAACTTTTTTTTATGGTTAAACATGCATAAAACTGCCCATTTTTTGAGTGGTTGGGTCATCTAAGATCACACAGAAAGATGATGAGACTCTAAATGGGTTAAGGATCTACACCTGTGAAGATTAGCTGTTGGGGCAGGATGGGCGGGGGGAGCGGGGGGGGGGCGTACAGAGTGCGAGTCTGCAAAGGCAGACGTGTGGGATTTCCCAGCAGAACTGTACTTGGAGGATCCTGCTCAGCCACACGAGTAGAGGACAAATAGGAGAGCTTCTCACCAGCTACCCCCAAAATAAATACAAACTAAAGGCTGAGACAACTTTTTTGTAATCATTAAAATGTTGGAGAGGAAAGTCCAACACTGCAAATTTGCTTTAATAAGACAGTTCTTTTGCTCCTGAGAGAAAGCAAGCCTGGATCAATGGCTGGGTCTTTAGAATGGCTCAGAGCCTGAGGGAAGTATTTTATCAACAAGCCCTTAATGGTACCTTTCATGTGCCAGGAACGCTGCTTAACACAAAAGGAACAAACTGATGAGGAGCCTGGGCTTAAGAATTTCACTGCATCAATGGGCAGACATAATTATGTTTACAGACCAGAAAGCAATTAGTAGTTGTAACAAGGCCTTCAGGAAAGGGCATATCATGGCCCAGGGTGATGAGGTGAGGACGTGTGGCCTAGGTATGTGTGGCCTATGTCAAAGTCCTAACACCACCAACAGCACTATTTACTGATTGCCTGCTGGGTGCCAGGCAATGTACTGTGCACTGATTTTTTCTTCCCAATACCTCAATGGAGGCAGGTGTTACTGTCCCCATTTTACAGATGAGCGCAAGGACTTGAGGTTGAGTGAAGGCTAACGTGACATTCAAGGCACAGCTGGGCACACAAGCACGTGTGTGACACAAAACCCAAGCTTCATCAGTTCTCCTTACAGTTCCTTCCCTCACAGTAATGAAGGGAAACACTTTGAATTGTAAAACAATTTGTAGAAGTAATTATAATATACTCCAAACAGACAAAAAGTAACCATTTGCCTCCCTACTCCTTCAATTCTCAACTTGAACGTCATCTCTTCCAGGGCTCCACCCCTGCTCTCCAAACTGAGTTAAGCTCCCCCAATAAGGACCACAGTCCTTCAAGTGCAATTTGAAAAGCCAGTAAGCTCTGAAAAATCTGAAGTGTTTTCATAGATTTGCAGCAAGCATGGTGACCTGAACTGCCGGGAAACTACGTGTTTACTTTTCCTACTCAGCGTGAATATTCACACTCAGATGTGAGAAAAATGTGTCTGATGAAGGGATGCTGCCCATGGCAGTTATTACAGAATACATATGTATATTACCTTGCTAAAATCCAAACTGTTCTGACTTGCAAACCATATCTGGCCCCAAGGATCTCAAAGGACTCTGGACTTCTACCCCATGCATAATTCTCATTGCAGTACAGGCGTTTCTTCTTCATTGTAAGCCCAGCACCCGACGAAGTGTCTTGCATGTAATAGGTACACGATAAATATTTCCTGAATGAAGAAATAAGACTGAGAAATTGGCTGTGAAGGGAAAATGGTCAGTGGCTTGGGACTATGGTTCCTGACTTGGGGGCTGAGCCTCTAACCATGGAATGCTACTTTCTTCTCTGAAGGGAGGTCCTATTAATAGTTGCTGCTGATTGACGGAAAGGGACCTAGCTGCTGTCTTCACTGGGAATAAAAATAGTCCAGTGGTCTTACATGATGGACCCATATATAACTTTAGCCCAGTAATATAGAACAGCAGGCATATTCATACCTCTCAGACCACATGGGCAGCCTCACAGGTCCCCCTAGAACTTGAGAGAAGATGTGCATTTGGCTCTGACCCTACTACATGGGTAACCTTTTTGGCCTGTAGTTTTTTCATCTGTAAAATATCAACCAGAGTAACCCTTAAGGCCCTCGCACGGGGGTCTCTAACAAGGTAATTCATGGGAGGGACAGCAGCAGTTGCCCCACATTCCAGAGGAGGAGACAAACCTCTGGAAGTTCTTCCCTCCTGTCTACTGTCCTGGCAGTCCCGAGTTCACCGTCCTCAGCGTGCTCTGTCCAACCTATACACACGTCCTCTCTCACCCCCAAAAAACAGTCAATGCAAAAAGATGCATTTTTGTACCATGGGCACCAGTGGAGCTCGGTCTTCGATCCCAAACACAGGTTTAAGAATTCTTTTTTTTTTAAAATTTTTATTTATTTATGATAGTCAGAGAGAGAGAGAGAGAGAGAGAGAGAAAGAGAGAGAGAGAGAGAGAGGGAGAGGCAGGCTCCATGCACCGGGAGCCCGACGTGGGATTCGATCCCGGGTCTCCAGGATCGCGCCCTGGGCCAAAGGCAGGCGCCAAACCACTGCACCACCCAGGGATCTCAGGTTTAAGAATTCTGTGAAGAGTAGCGGCACAGCCCTTCGGTCCCCCGAAAGAGGCCGGGGTAGAATGCGGGTGGGGGCCATTACTGGCCAACAAGCACTGGATTATTATTTTTTAAGATTTTATTTATTTATTCATGAGAGATGCGCAGAGACACAGGCAGAGGGAGAAGCAGGTTCCTCGCAGGGAGCCCGATGCGGGACTCGATCCCCGGACCCCAGGATCACGCCCTGGATTTAAAGAGAAAACCTGCTAACTGCAAAGCCTCAGGACCGGGTAGGAGAATGGGTGCCACGAGAAGGCAGCTCGGGTGGGCCTTCCTTACCTGGTAGCACAGAATGGTCTGCTGTACCAGCCGCGCGTAGCCATCCAAGCGGACCCCGGAATTGCTCCTGCTCCTCATGCCCGCGCGCTGCCCGGGCCGCGGCGCCCGACGCGCTGTGCAGAGGTGGGTGGGACGCCCGAACTGCGGCCGCCAAGCGGGCCTGCTTCCCAAACACTCGCAACCTCGGTTAGTCCTTGGGACGGAGCCCGCCGGTGGGAGGTCGAGACTTTTTAAAATGAAAGAAGCAAAGTCTGACTGGAAAGCAAGCCAACCAGAGTTTCGCTCTTCTGCACGGCGCGGGGGCGGTCCCTCCTTGACCAGGTCCGCCGCACTCCCGACGCCCGCGGATGTCGGGCAGCCCCGCGGGAGACGCGGGGAATCGGGTTTGGGGCGGGAGGCAACGACGACCCCGTCGAGCCTTCCTCGGCTTCGAGCGGCGTGGAGGAGGCCCCCGGGCGGGCCGCCAACCCTAGCCTAGCCGCCTGCAGCAGTCCCCGCGCCGCCCCGCCCCGCCCCCGGCGCCGCCCCCGCCCCTGCCGCGGAACGCAACCCTCCGAGTCGCGGCTTGAGGGGGAAAGAAAAGGGGGTGGCCCACGGGAGTAGCGGACAACCTGGCTCCGGGCGGGAAGCAAACTGCATCCCTGAGCCCCTTACCCCCCCCACCCCCACCGCCGGCCGCAGAGGCGGCTGGGGAGACAGGTCCTTCCGCGGCGACCACCTGGACGCCCTGGGTCCGCCCCGGGTCCGCCCCAGGCCCCACCTGTGATCCCGCCTCCGGCTCCGCCCCCGCCGCGGAGCGGAACCCACGGAGCCGGGCCCGAAGAGCGAGGTAAGGGGACCCCTCCTCCGGAGCTTCGGAACGCCCCTAATACCATCGCTTGTGGCCCCGCCCGGCCCTGAGATGAGCTCAGCACAGCGCCCGTGGCCCCGCCCCAGGCCCCGCCCCCGCCGCCGCCGCGGAGCGGAACCCGCCGAGTCGGAGATAAAGCACTGGCTCCTCCGCGAGCGGCCGGGAGGCCCCGTGGATGGGCGCTCGACGTCACCCGAGGCGGGAGAAGTAGGCCCGCCCACCGCGGCCGCCAGCCGCGATCTTAATTCTGTACTTGGCAGCGTCTCCACCTCCGAGCAGAAGCCGAGTTGTGGGGCCTCTCAGGGAAGGAAAAGGGGGGTCGGGGCACCCTCCGGCTCCTGTAGCCCCTGTCCCTGATCAGCGCATTGGAAGTCAGGCCTGCAGTTCACCTCCTACAGGCCTACAACTTGATATTGGCATTACAGTTTTTTGCAGCGGCTAATTACCTACAGTTCAATCTTTGACCCACTGTTCATTTTCCAACAAGGTCTGTTCCACTTGGGGCGCCTGGGTGGTTCAGTCGGTGAAGCGTCTGCCTTCAGCTCAGGTCAGGGTCCTGGAACCAAGCCCCTGTCCTGCTCCCTGCTCCCTGCTCAGCAGGGAGTCTGCTTCTCCTCTGGCCCCCCCTCCCCGTCCCTCGTCCCTCCTCCCCTTGCTCCTGCTTTCTCTCGCTCTCTCAAATTTTAAAAAATAAATGCTTCACTGGGCAGCTCGGCTTATATAATATTCTGCTAGATTCTATGCATTTGCTATATGCCTTACCTAGTAGGCCACTCCTCCTCGCCCTATCTGAAGCCTATACGTTAAGGGCCAACTCAGTTCTTCACTCCTAAAAGCCCTCCCCATTCTCTGCATTTCCATACAATTTATTTGTAAGAACTTAGGTTTTGGATTCCAATCAGGGTTCTGCCACTGACAAGTGTTGTGAGCCTTAGCATGTCATCACAGCTGTTTGACATTCAATCTCATCTGTAAAATGGGGATAATAGCACCTACCTCCTAGGGTGGCTAACATCAAGGGGATGAATGTAAAGCACTTAGCATCATGCCTGGCTCATAAAAAAAAATCATAAATCATAGCTGTTTTCATTTAACATCGGACAGTGTTATTTTTGTTTTCAGATGAAGCATGCTTTTCTAACTGGATTGTATACTCATTCAGTCTTTGAGGGGCGCCTGGGTGCCTCAGTCAGTAGGGCTGAGATTGACTCTGGGTTTCTGCTCCAGTGGTGATCTCAGGGTGGTGATGAGGGACCAAAAGGCTAGCTGAAGACAAACCACAATCTGACACCCTGCAAACCACCACCCCCTCCCAGGTGGGATACGCCTGGCTTCCTCCAGGAAGCTCCCAATTGTCTTAATGCTTTGCTACAGGGAAAAATAACCTTCACTTGTCAATGGCAAGGCCTCCAATATCTTTTCTTCTTTAGCATATGAAAGTTCTTTTGAAAACCTCCCCTTTTCCTTACCTTCCCCAACTCCGGAAGTATACAATCAGCCATACCTCACAGCCCTCCTGCTGTGTCTGGAACAGTGTTGAACATAATAGTTGTAACTCAGTGTCAAATGAATGAAAGAAAATCAGTCTTGCTAACTGGGTCCCCTTAACCGAATTCACTTTATAAATTCCGTACCATAAATCTATGTCACTCAGCTAAAGCACCAAACCCGTTATCATCTCACATACTTTTTTCTTACTCGTGGCTCCTAAATAATGTAGCAATCCATGTGATGTGCCTGCATGCAGAATTTGCAATGGTCTAGGGGTAAATAAAATTAGACAATAAGTTATCACCATTAAGTCTCTTTTGGAATCAGAATATGTACTCTTATTAGAGCTCATATACTCTGCATCAAAAAGCTGGGATCATTGCTTCATTACTGTTTTTGTTCACCCTGAATGCTTCTTCAAGAATGTATTTTGCAACCAGAGTGGGAAATAACTGATAACCTTTGCTCATTACCTGGCATTTCCATTCAGTATAGAAACATTTTCAGTTTATCTCATTCTTAGTGAATTCTTCTATCCAACGTACACCTCTGTTGGTGTATAGCTAGCCCACATTCTTAAAATTGGTCTATGCTTTAATAAATATTATCAAATAAGCTATATTTTTCCATAAGCTTGAAATTCAAGGATAAAACCAAGAATGAAAGCTACTACTTTTTAGCTTTTAAATTTCTATGCAAATTTTGGCCCATAAGCTGTGCTATATAAAAATCAGACTCCTATCTTAGTGGCCTATGTCCCTAAGATACAAAACTTCCGTATCTTGGTTTCCATATCCATGAAGCCTTTCTCTGGCTGTGATCCAATAGAAACCTGTCTCCAAGTCATTTCTCAAATATTTGTCAAGAATCAGATATGGGGGGCACCTGGGTGGCTCAGTGGTTGAGTGTCTGCCTTTGGCTTAGGTCATGATCCCAGGGTCCTGGGATAGAGTCCCACGTCAGGCTCCCCGCAGGGAACCTGCTCCTCCCTCTGCCTATGCCTCTGCCTCTCTGTCTCTCGTGTATAAATAAATAAAACCTTAAAAAAAAGATTCAGATATGGAACATGATGGGATATGTTATTGTTTCTGAAACCGATTCATGATCTTTGTAAACATGAAAGCCCAAAACTGGACTCCAGGGTAGTACCACCCACATAAGACTCCTCTGACCTCATCCAGAGGGTCTGCCTCATTGTCCTGCCACAGGGGCTTAGGCCAATGAAGTTTTCCCAGAGAGCCACATGTCTGTGTCCAAGGTAGAAACCATCCAGTGTTTCTTCTGGAAGGCTCAAATTTTTTACTCTAAATAAAAGCATTCCATCTCTGATACAAAGGAGATGGTCCATTCTGAATGAATTTTCTGAAAAGAACCAATTTGCCAAATTTTGTTATTTCTTTGACAAATCTTTGTGGACCAGAGATCATTTTCATTGCAATATTTTAAAGAATGTACAATTTGTCTCTGTTCCAGATTCCTATAGCTGGTTTGAGACTAAGAGGTAAAGAGTGGAGATACCAGGAAATGTAAGATTTCTTCTCAGTGAAGAATCTATAGATATATTTAAAAGAACATATTCTGGAAGAATGTATTCAATTTTGTGTGCCCCAACATTTTGATGCTGTACCTAGAAAAAAGAAAAAGAATCTACTGACAAGAATTCTGCCCATTAAAGATTATGTTTTTATGTCCATCTGGTCTTTCCTTCTTCCTGTCCTTCAGACTCTAACAGCATCAGTTGGAGCTGAGGCAGAGACAAACTGAATAGTCCTTAAAATGGAGAAATGGAGAAAAAAATGATTACACACTTGTCCATTCAGTAAATTGTTCATTCAGTAAATTAGCCCTTTGCCAAAATGGCCTTCAAACTAATCTGCTTTCTAGGTGACCTCATTAGATACAACCCAGTATCCCAAATGAAGCCATTTCACCATTTTTGCTGAGAACAGTCCTGATGCTGCTCACTGAAGCTCAGAGTTGCTCTGTGGGATTAATGATTTCAGTGTGTTTTGGGGAAAAACTTCTCAAATGTTCTGAGAAAATTCTTCATTATATACTGGTCACTGCTGTGATGCTCCTTGCCTCCTCATACTAGCATTTCTGTCTCCTTCAGTGGAGTCTTAGATTGTGAGACCAATTGTTTTTTTAAAGAGTTCATTTATTTATTCATGAGAGACACAGGCAGAGAGAGAAGCAGGCTCCATGCAGGGAGCCTGATGCGGACTCGGTATGGGGACTCCAGGATCACACTCTGGGCTGAAAGCAGGTGCTAAACCGCTGAGCCACCCATGGATCCCCTGTGAGACCAATTTTAAACTCAAAGAAGGATGCTTCTCAGGAACATTCTCTGTCCTGCCCCTTATCTGCGAGAAGGAAAAAAAAACAGACAAGAGAATTTGGCTTAGGGACCACAGCCCTCAAAAAAAAAAAAAAAAAAGGGACCGGAGCCCAGACACAAAACACAATAGGAAAAATGAGAGGGCATGGACAGGATCTAAACAACACTGGACACTGTGCATCCTTTGGGGTACACTTTGATTACATCATCTCCAGGAGTCTTGGTCTCTGAGATCTCATACCCAAATCTCAAGTATCTCACCACCTTCCTCATCAATTTAATCCTCAAGATCTCTGAGGCAGCTGAGCATCACATCTCAGAGACCTCTTACAGAATCAAGGCCAGCTTCCCCAAGTTGGCCTCCCCCATAATAATCAGCTGCCCCAGAAAGTCCTAATCCTTTCCTGAGGATGCAGAGACATGGAGGGGGGAATGCAAATGTGGGGCTGTGTAGGCCAATGGCAACATGTGTTAATAAAGAGGAATCTTGGAAGAGTGTAAGGGGAAAATGAGGAAGAGATCTCAGAAACTGATCTCTTGAGGAGGCACCTTGCTCTAGCCTCACAGTCACTGTGTGTCTGCTGTCAGAAGATGTCACCATCACATTCATCTTAATCAGGCCACTCCCATGCCACGCCCCCAGGGAAAGATCACAGGCGCCTTTTCAGTGAAAACTTTCAAACTCAAAGGACTGAACTACAAATTTATTTTGGTGATTTGAACATTTTTGTTGATTTTTAACATAAATACAAGAAAATTAAATAAATCAGAAGAAATATTGCAAAGACAAATCAGCACTCACAGAGGTGTATTATATTATTACTGTGGTTAGTCAGGGATACAACATTCACTTGAAATATATGCAAGGGAACCATCGTGAAAGACCTAACTACAGGGTTTTGCAAGGTTCCTATTCAGGACACACTTGAGGCATTGCTCAGGCAGCAATAGGTGGGAAGCAAGATAAACCCTTTACAACTAGGAGCAGTCAGGGTTTGATACATATGGCAACAATAGCATTGCAGGATAGTTCCCAACAGCTGCTCCCCCTTGTCACTACACATTCTTCAAGACTTGACACCTTTTAAGAAATAATTATAGCTCTGGCTGGGCCAGAGTGTACCAGTCATAGCAACTAATGTACTATCCAGTTGCCCTTTAAAGAACAGCAATATGATTTTTTTAACCTCATATACATCTCCTTTAAAAATGAATCCTACTCTATTCCCCTTTTCTGAAAGGCTCTGGGGATCTGAGAAGTGGCAGTGTATGTATCTCGTCCACATTCACAATTTTCTTGACAGATGGTCTAGATTACAGTTCTATCCCTCTCCAGGGCCAAGGTACTAAGTTAATCATCTTGGTGCAGATTTCATAATCTGGTGATCAGGGATGAGGTCAGGAGAGGGGTATTGGTATTGGATGCTGTGCGTGGTTGTACACATGGTGCCCTGCATGAGGGTGTACCCAAGTGATGAACGGAGCTAAAATATGGCCCCCACTTTGTCTGCCAAACCATAAGCCCTCGGGCCGTGTCTGCCCAGTGGGGGGCACCTCTTTCCAACTCACTCAAGGCCCCATATGAGCTCACTGTGGCACTGTCTGCTTACATTTCTCCAGTCTGGCTGGCATCGTTATTTCTTGATTTCAGTGAAGCATCTATATTTCACATCCCATATAATCTCCAAAAGGAGCTGTAGAATTCACTGAACCAGCAAGGATTTTCTGAATTATCACATTAGACGCAATAACACAACCACGATTCCACAAATAAATCAATTTACACAGTAGAAAATAAATACAAAAAATGTAGAAGGCATCTGACATGTGCGTCACTAAAATTTAGCTTATTTACAACAAAGGCAGGCACAACTAAACTCACCAACAGGCTGAAGTCAACAGTTACCTTATAGGACGTAATCAAATATGACTTAGCCTCTTTAAAATGCGGCTAGAAGTGAACTACTTTGATTTTTAAATGAGACTTATTCTTACTGTGTTGTTTAAACCCAACCTACTTTTTAAATGAAGGATAAAAAAACCAAATGGCAAATGTCTAAAAACCATGTATAATGTCTTGGTTTCCTCTTCTAATAACCATTGCCCTCAATCAGCATAGGCTCCTCCAGAGGTTGCTGAGTATAAAATTAGTTGATTTTCATACATCTCACATTGTGTAAAAGGTAAAATTGGACATTTTCACACTGTCAAGCATCATGCTTTGATTTTTAGAAAAAAAGGAATCACATTTGCTCAATAAAGTGTAAGCTTCCCCGCTTTGAAGTCCTTCTGAGAGCGATACGGTTTTTACCATGGCAGGAATCTTCTTTCTCATTAAACATGTGCTGCTTTCCAGTGAAATCATGAAGGCACACATCTCCATTCTGAACAATGAAAGAAACACCATTCTTCTCGGTAGAAGCATTCCCTGTATAAGGAAAGACAAACTTGGTGTCATGGAGTATCCACAGAAAGCAATCAAATAAATCAACAGTTAAACATCATTTTATTCTGAAGTAGGTTCACGCAGTACATGTTTTTTAATATAGTTATGATATATTGTCATGTTTTACTTTTCACTCCTTCCCTAAAGCTGCTCAAAGTAAGCAAAACTGGAGAATGCACCAGAAACCAGTTCTCTATGGCAATTTTTTTAATGAAATGATCAAAATATGAAGCAAAGCAATATATTTGATTTGAAAAGGCCCACTTCCTAACTCTAGTTGATTGTATTATCGAGTAGCAGCTTATGTGTAGTATAACCCAATATAATATTCTGGTCTCCCCCAAAAGATTAAGCTTAACAGAGATCCCCAATATGTTCCCTTACCAGGTTTTTGGTTCCTTAAGAATCCTATAAAATAAAACTCTGTACCAGACAAACCCAGAGCAACAACAGTCATGGTCAAGAAAAAAACGTCTCCGGTAGACTAAATCGGCCCCTCTGACTAAATCAGGACAGGAATGACACCCACAAGGAAACCACCAATTACAACCTCAGAGCCCAGGCCAGGTGGAGCTGGGCATTCTAGAGACATTGAAGTTTGGACCTAGGCCTTCCACACCACAAACAGGCCCTGAACTGTGTGTATGCCAGTAGGACGGAGCCACAGCTGCTGAGACCCTCTGGCTACTTGGCGCCATCCTCCTGGCCATCATACCACTGGAAGGCAATCTAGAATGCTGACTAACAGGGTGCCTGGGTGGTGTCATCGATTGAGTGACCAACTCTCGGTTTTGACTCTCAGTTCTCGACCCATGATCTCAGAGTCATGAGATGGGGCCCTGTGTCAGGCTCCACACTCAGTGCAGAGTTGCTTGAGATTCTCTCTCCCTCTCTCTGTCCCTCCCACTTATGCACACTTCCTCTCTGTTTAAAACAAATCTTTAAAAAAGAAAGCTGAATAATAAGCCCATTTTTTCAGTTGATGCTATAATCATAGGAATAATAATTAACAGTACTGAGAACATAAGTACTATCTCATTTATTATACTACTTGTTGAGTGCTATTATTATCCCCATTTCACAGACGATGAAACTAAGTTTTCAGAAATCAAGTGCTTTGTACAAAGTTATGCAACTCAGAACTGATGGAGTCAATATGTGACATTTCTTTCAGACTGAGTTTGTGGCCCCATGAGCCAAGTGAGATGGCTGCTGGCACCCAAGCCTCCAAGGCATAACCAAATATGTAGCGTTCACACCAACTAGGTGATGGATATGTTTAACACAGCCCAAATAGGGCATATGACTGAGACAGCTGTCCTGATTTAGGCATTTTGGTTTGAGGACATTTTGGTGCAGGGACAATTTGACCTGGTATAATAAACCACTAAACTTCCAGCTTCTTTGTTGGAATTGCCTAGCCCATCCCTCATCCATCCCAGATCCTAAGTGTGCAGCCTGAGGAGTTGGGGATGTCTATCTGATGAGCATGTATTAAAAACTTGGCCATTTGGGTGGCCAAAAATGTACCCCCACCCTCACTGTCGGCCATCAAAATCAGCTATGTCAAATTAGCCATGTCAAACAGCTGTGCAAAATGTTGCTTCAAAAAAGAAAAGTGTTGCTTCAGTCAAATATGATTCCCCAAAGCATGGCAACACAGGCTAGGCAAGGGAGGCTTCATCTCTGAGTTGTTTCTAGAATATGGAAAAATCTGGCTTTAAGAGTTCCAAACATTTCTGTCCAAGCCAACAGGCTTTCTGATATGTTGTGATTCTGAGGATTCACAGTGGCTTACCTCACACCTCTGATTTCACTGCTTTCAGCTTGCTTTCTCACGTTAACTTCTCAACCAGTCTTGATTGCTACTACCTCTACTCTGTTTCCTTACATTGAGTGATTCTCGATAGAGCCATTTGTCCTAGAACCCAGAGCTCTTATCCTGGCATCTATGGTAAGGAGCTAAAGCCAGATAGTAGGTGTTTCTCATCTTCTACAGCAATGGTTCTCAATGAAGGGGAGGTGGGTGATTTTAGCCCTCAGGGGACATTTCACAATGTCTAAAGACAATTTTTGGTTGTTACAACTGGGGGCAGAGTGGGTAGATGCTACTGGTATCTAGTTGGTGGAAACTAGGGATGTTGCTAAATGTCCCCAACTGCACAGGACAGCTACCTCACCCCAACAGAAAGAATAGCCTAGCTCCAAGTGTCAATTGTGCCGAGGTTGAGAAACTTCGATTTGGAGGCATTCTATTGTATTTTTACATTCTGTATAAACCAGCAGGACCTTCCATCTTTAGGAGGTTGGAAAACTATTTGACAGGTATATGAACCTTCCCACAAATTTATTTGAATTCATCATGAAAATAACCAATATCCTAAAATGACGAATAAAGGCAAATTCTCCAGGGAAGGAGAAAGTAGAGGAGCAGAAATGTAAGCTTTTATGAAAATGCAAAAGATGTATTAAGAAGCCAAAGAACAATGAAACACACAAGCTTTTATGAGTAATGGACAGCCCAATTGTATGAAAGAAAGAAAATGTAATGGATGTTTTAGCTGGAAATGTCAGAATTAGCATAAGAAGGCGCTGCAGCAATAATCTGTTCACCTATTGGTGACATATATGGTCACCAGTAATGGTCACAATTCATCTTGGCAGTATTTAACATACTAAATGGGGATCTGGGCACTGCCACAAGGCAGCCATGCTATGGAAAAGAATGAACAAACATGACAAACAAAAAATAGGAAGGTTTAAAAGTATTGAAAATATGTATGATTGTAGATGTATTAAAAAATCAATATGGTCTTAACTATTTTAGGTTCTGCTTGCACAGCAGGAGGACAGCACTAAGGTGTTTGGGCAGTACTTAAATCAGGGTTGGCAACGTGAACACTTTTAGGTCATCATTAAGTTCCATCGTGAAAAAGCTAAATCTTAAAAAAAAAGTTCTGTTATTTGCTCTAAAATGAATAAATTTGGATTAATAAGCTTTCTCTTCTATAAGGGAGCCACATTTTGATCCACTAGTCATATGTAATTTTTCCCCTTTGCTTAGCAAAAATGCGATGAAAGGATAAAACTACTTTAGTACAATAAACACTAGCTTGAGAAGTGCTATGTTGAGAGATACGTACCATTCCCACTCGAAAGGCCTGAGCAATCGCTATTCACCAGCAGCGTGGTGGAGTGCGTGGAATTACTGTTTGACTGTAAGGAATTTGAAGAGCTGGACACTCCTTGGTTTACAGTCTGCTTCTTTAAACCATTAGTAGCAGTTTTACTCCAGTCTACAGCAGAATAAGCATTTCAGAAAAACAGGGCGGAATGTTGAAGCTCAATGCAAGAGACAGATCACAGTGGAACTCGTTCTGGCAACTGATCTCGCTTCCAGATCCCACTTCCACTTCTTACAAAAGAAGTCACACATTTCACACATTGGTGCGAGAAAATGTATTTTCATTTAACACTACATATATTTTGTCCTTTAAAGGAACACCGGGTTAAAAGTAACTTATATTCTCTTGGATTAAAGGCCATGCTCGTTTGATTGTGTCTATAAATACCCACTGAGTTAGGCAGTACTCCAGAGCCAAGGGCTGTCTTAACAAGAACAAGACAACTGTGTTGTGGTTACTGGTGGTTCTTAAATGACTTTAAACGACTGAACTATAATATAGGTACTGCCATTTTCTGAGTGAAGATCTCAGGCAACCAGATCTTTGCCATACTGCAAAGGCTGTATTCAGGGATGGTATTCATGGAAGAGGAATTAATGTTTTCAAACAGTACTTCATTTTTCTTATTTTCTTGAAAATCAGCAATTTGCTCTACAACTCAGCAGGGCACACCTGAAAATAACTTCAAAATAACGAAAGGTATGCTGAAGCTTATATACAAAGTCTGGCCCAGTAACAAATAGCAGCAGACAATCAGGACCTATGGTAAAAAGGTTGAGCCAAGACTTTTTTAAATAAGAATTAATGTTTTATTAAAGAATTCTAGAATTTTAAAATTGTTTTTATTTTAATTACAATTAGTTAACAGTGTACTATGAGTATCAGGTGTGCACCATAGGGATTCAGTACGTCCACACAACACCTGGTGCTCATCATAGCACGTGCCCTCCCATAATCCCGGCATCTCTTTCACCCCTACCCCTACCCCTCAGGTCAAGACAAGACTCAACAGGTCATGAAGGCAAATATGAAAAATTATTCCAGGCAAATGGAAAACCTTAGCTCAAAAGGAAAGAAATTCTAAAATTTCATTCTTGTTTCATTTAAACAGCAATGAACCCGTTAATCCTCTTGGCTCACAAAGTTCCCAGATATGAGCAATTATTTTTTATTTCACTAGGTTCCCCCGCCCGCTAACATTTACAGTTGGGATCCATTCACTGATTTCCAGATCGGACAGCCCTTTGGCATTGATTGCTTTAGATCTTAACTTTGTGTCTTTCCCTCAAGATTTAAAGAGGAGAAAAAGGTAACTCTTTACCAGAATTTTCAGCCAGCCGGAACTTTCCACAACAAAGATACCGTCTCCATTGCTTTCTGACGTTCTCTTTTGCTACACAGTAAAAGACGAATATGAAAAACCCTACAGAGGAAAGAAAAACAAATCCGTAACATAGTTCCAAACTAAGACCTGAATGTCGTGAGCTTCCTTTGCACAAAAGATAAAATCTTTGGCAGCTATAGGCAAAGGTAAATTTTGCAAATTGAAAAAAAAAAAACTAAAGTCCTATGAAAGGCACCCTGAAGGGACTCTCTTTGTAAGATTAAAAAAAAAAAAAACACTTATAAAAGGATTGATAACTCCCTATTTCCAAAATTAAACTGTCTCTCCTCTCACTTCCCATCCTTGGCACTCCCTATCTTTGGAAGTACAAGCCATCCACTCAGGATGCCAGCTTAGATCTAGACTCCTACTTCCCCACCCTTCCATATATTTATGATCCATTTTCATGTTCTGTCAAGTGCCACATCCTCTTCTGTCTCAGATTCCTGGCTCCTCCTCTCCAGCCCACGGCAGAGTCCCTTGCCTGGGCCCTTCCCTCTTCCTCCCAAGCCTGGTACCCCGCAGTGATGTCCTTGCCTGCCTTCCAGCCTCCCTCTAATATGTTCGAGGAAATTCTCCATGAAGAGAGTAACACACAGACCTGAGGAGGCACTTGGGTTCTGCCTCCCACCCACGGTCTTCCTGGTCGTGCGGCACAGGGCTCTTTAAGGCGTTTGCCAATAACTATTTGCTGAATGAATGAATTTCTGAATTCTCCCTCTCCTGAAACCCCAATGGATCTACTTTAAAATCTTCCTTTTAAATATTAGGTTTGCTTCTAGTACAGTACAATGTCCTAAAAACTGCTCTCTTGACTACTATACACCTTTGTTTATTTGCCACCCTTGGGTAGCCCCCCTTGGTTGCATACGGGGAGAAACAACAAGTATGCAGGAGATCAAAATGGGCCTAAGTCCCAAATCAGAACCTAAACCCATCTTTCCTTTAATCAACCCTAAAGCCCTGAGAATTAGGCATTAGTTCCCTTTTATAGATGAAATAGTGCATTCCTTTCATCTATTCATATTCTAATGAGAATACATTCTGGGGAAATGAAGGCAGAGAGGCAGGTTTGGTTTCCACAATAAATATATGAGGATAGGTACCTTGCTTTCGTGTTTGTGATTACTGTGATTTAGGCATATTATTTTTTTTTCTCTTTTAGCATGCTATTATGGCCAATAAAACTTGTCTACTTAATGCTATGTAGTATTAACACCTGGATATACCACATCAGGAACTGATCCATGTAAGTTAAAATTAACAAAGGCGCCTGGATGGCTCAGTTGGTTAAGCATGGACTCTTGATTTCAGCTCAGGCCTTGATCTCAGGGTTGTGAGATGGAGCCTGCATTGGGCTCCACTTCTCTCTCATCCCCTGCACCCCTACCAACTCTCAAATAATAAATCAATAAATCTCTAAATAAATAAAATCTTTTTTAAAAAAAACTTAACAAACTGCATGTGACCAGCAAGCGTATTGACTGGCTTCCTCCAAATAAGAACGGAGAGCTAAAATTCAGTCTCAGGTTAGGATTTCTTTGAAAACCAGCAAAATGATCTACCACCTGACAGAACTATGGGAGGACTCTTGGGGAGCTGAAAGCAACAGGAAGAAAAAGATGAAAACAAGCAGAATGAATTAAAAAGGGAGGCATCCCAACAAAGGATTTGAAATAAAAGGAAACCAAGGGACATGAATTATCGTTCACCCACTTAGCATTTAATGTCAAAGTACTTCCAATACAAATTAATTGCAGCTGACAAGTCTTTTATAACGCTGATCTTTAGTAATTTGCTTTTCTAAACAACATAACTTGATGGGTTGGGAAATTACTGCAGCTAGGCTTGGAGAACAAATGCAAAACAGTGAAGAGGCCGCACAGAGCCCGCCCCCGCCCCACCCCCGTCCCACGGGTTTGCCCAGCACAGTAACTTCTCGGGGTGAGCCGCTGGGCCAGGCTGTGGCCACTTGGCTGTTTGTTAACTTCACATTTACCATCATCTTCACATCAAACAGACCTAGAAGGTGGGCGTGCCCAGACATCACAGGGACGTTTATGGTTAGGTTCACTTTTCAGTATGCACGTTCTACCTCAGTAAGATTTACAACCAAAAAGAGGGGCAGGGAACCAAGTGAAGGAAGACTGACTCCCATAACGAGCTCCTGGCAGGTCCCCTTCAATATGTTCTCTCTGAGGAGACAATATGGATAAGGAGGAAAAAAGCACCCATTTCTTCCAAGGCTTTCAAAGGTGAATTGGGTTGTCAACAAGTAAGTCTGAAGCTACAAAATTCCACTGGGATCATTGGTCCATGGATTGTGCTGTAGAGCTTACCTTGCAATGTGTTAAAGATTGCAAAGAGATACATGAAAGTGACGTTAACTGGTCCCCAGGCAAAGAAGGCAAAACCCCAAGTAATGCCCAGTAAAAATGTAAGGCCGGCAACGCTCCTGAGGTCTTGAATACTGGTTTTCCGCTGGGCTCCCAGTTGTTTCTTCTTTTTAATTCGACAGAGCTGAACCAGGACCACAATGAACATGCTGACATTCAGCAAAAAGATCACACAGAAATATCCCACAACTGTAATATAGAATACAGCATTGCTGTTGATCCAGCAACTGGAATGTGGGGGGAAAACAATGGGGAACATATTACAGTGCTGAAATATGGTTCAAAATGATACAATGAATCTATATCGTTTTACTGAAACATTTCCTAAAAGTACAAGAGATATAAAAAAAGATAAAACCAGCTGTTCTCCAATACCCACTTAAGGTTCTAAGGGGAGAAAAAAACCTAAGAGTTTATTTTAGGACACTTGGTGATTAGAAGTACTTTAAAAATATTCCTTGAAAACAATCAGGACTTTAAAAAAAAGAAGGAAAGAAAACAAAACATTAAGGATTTTATCCCCTTAAAATCCTATCTATGAGTCTTTACTAATATAATGTAGCTGGCATTTCATGTTTATCAGACACTTAAAAATATTTTCAAAATACCTCCAATTACTTTTTTTAATACTTAAGTAGTTGTGTGATGGAGCACCTGGGTGGCTCGGTGTGAGCATCTGCCTTTGTCTCAAGTCGTGATACCAGGGTCCTGGGATCGAGTCCTGTATCAGGCTCCCCACAGGGAGCCTGCTTCTCCCTCTGCCTATGTTTCTGCCTCTCTCTCTCTCTCTTTCATGAATAAATAAATGAATAAATCTTTAACAAGAAAAGTAATAGCGTGGCATTTCCAACTAGCTTATCTCATTACATACATAATTGCGAAGACTGCTGTAAATGTGACTGGATTTATTAGGATGAGAGTCAGAGTCGATATGCTGATTACATACTCCACTTTGTTGGATTATTCTGTTTTCCAGTTCACTTAACATTCCCTCAGGGGCTTTGTACTCACAAGTCATCGGGTGAGCCATTGGGGAATTTCCCATAGGATCCAAGGCCATAGTTATTTGGGGATATAGCCAGGACGATGGTCACAACCACAGCGGGTACCCCTGGAAGATGGGAAACATCAGTCACACAGAGCTCTAATAACCAAGGTCGGTGAGAAGAAAGACTAGAGATTACATTCTATTTTCTTCTGGGAGCAAACTGCTGAGCTGTTCACCAAACCCAGTTGCTCTTTCTCCTTGGCACACGGCTGGACCTCTCCCAGCCTGCTTTGCAGCTAGGTGTGTGTGGGCACAAAACTAGGTCTTGGTCAATGGGATATGGACAGAATTGATTTGCTCTACCTTTAGGCTGGTCCCATAAAAACTTTCTATGAGATCCTCTGCTCTTTTTTCTCCCAAATTCAGGGCAACTTTAGAAATCCAGTCTTGAGACCACAGACCTCTACACTCCTGCTAACTGGACTGTGCATGAGAAATTATCTTCTCCTGAGATTTTTGTCGCCTACAGCAGCTAGAGTTACTCTTAATTTATACACATCTGGAATGGAATTTTGAGGTTCAGGTGGCAGGCAAAGTGAAGGACTCCCAAAATGTAAACCAAATAATCAACATATTAGGATTATCAGCAACTCCTAGCAAATCTTTCATTATGAACCCCAAATCCTCAACTGATTAGCTGGAAGCCATTGAGGAGCAGACCTGGTTGATCTAGGGGTGTTGACTGCCATTATACTGGCTCTCTCAAGGGCCTACTGGCACTTCCACTAAAAAGCACAATGACAAGGCTCTTCCCAGGTCAAAATGGCATCTGGCTGGGAAGGAGTCCCTCTCATCCCCCACCATGCCATCACCCCTCACCCCACTTCATGTGAGCATCTCACACCCTGAGCACACAGACCCGCCTCACATCCATCTCAAGGCTCTGGTAAATAAAAAACAATTCCTCCTCATAGCTGGGGTACCTGGTACAATCTAAAATAATATTTCGTTTAATTCTTTTTTCTTTGTACCTTACAGAGACACTGACATATGATGGTTTCCTAAGTGAAATACTTTCCTAAAAATAAAATATTAGGGTTGTGGAGCTTGTCCAGGACAAAGAATGTGACCTTGGGTATTCCAGAAAGACAGAATCCATGCTCAATGTCAGAAGCAATGATTTATTTTTTCTAGGAAGAAGTGACTCATCTTTCTGGAAAGGTGTCTGTTATTCTTGACAAAGATATAATGACAGGTGGGGTGACAGGGGTGGTAAAGGGTCTGCAGTACTATTGTGTAGGGAATATCTGAGGGAATATTTAGCCTGAAAAAGAGGATAGGGAAGGATGGCGGCTGTAATTCAGTGGGAAATATACACATGAGAAATCAGAAAGCCAGGCTGGGCTGTTCTCAAATTGAGTGGATTGGGTAAATCAATGTCATCATTTTGAGCTGGTTTCTTTCCATGGTGCTAGCAATAACTGCCTTGTGCTAACCTCATTGGCTTGTCTTTCATGGGGTTACTTATGTGAAAATACACTGAAAAAGGGTGTTTATCTTAATGTTATATATTACTTGTAGATTATCTAAAGGGCTCTCTGGCAGAGAGGTGTTAGCTTATTATTTTTTTAACTTAGAGAGCAAAAACAATACCACTTGGGTAAGTGCCACCAGAGAGCTAAGTGAACTTAATGGGAAATCAGAACTGCAGGGCTTTAGAACATGGTTATTGGCTGCCTTGTAAGGTATTAAAAACGAGACAACAGGCCTAAAATTGAGTCACTTATGCTAAGCCCCAGGTCATGAAACTGAGACTTGACTTAATTACAATTTCAGCTCTCCCAGAAATGGAATCTTAAACCAGTCAATCAGGAATCATATTATTAGCACTAGTTAGGTAATCTGCCTGATAGACTCCTCTGTTGAGTCCCCTAAAGGGGAATAACCTTGCAATAAGGAACCCACTATTTTGCCTAGCGTAACTTGCTTATTCCTGTTCCCTTCCACCTATAAACATCTCTCTTTTTTTATTAAATATTTTTATTTATTTATTCATGAGAGAGAGGCAGACACACAGGCAGAGGGAGAAGCAGGCTCCATGCAGGGAGCCCAATGTGGGACTCGATCCCAGGTCTCCAGGATCTGGCTCTGGGCTGAAGGCTGCACTAAACCGCTGAGCCATCCAGGCTGCCCAACATCTCTAATTTTGTACAGCTCCTTTCTATCTGTGAGACTGGATGTTGCTGATTCATGAATCACTGAATAGAGCCAATAAGGTCTTTAAAATTTAGTCAGTTGAGTGCTCGCTTCAGCAGCACATATACTAAAATTTAGTCCATTGAATTTTTTTTTTAACAAAGATAATGAGCTCCCTAATAATAGAAGTGTTCAAGCAGAGGTTAGATTATCTCAGCCAAAGCTAAGTTCAGTCAAGTTGATGGGGCTCCTACATTTGGTGGAGAGTTGAATGCAGGAACCTTCATGTGTGATGTCTCAGACTTTGTGACATGTGTGGTGTCTAAGACTTTGTGACCCACCACCAACAGGTGACATGATCTGAAAATTGTGTCAATGAGGCAATGAAGTCACAACAGGTTTCACCTGTATGTTCATCTCACTCTGCTATTCTTAGCCCAGTGTTGAGTGTGTGTATGATATCTGAGAGATCTAGAACCAGTGAGGCTAGCTGGGAGGTCAGGGATGGAAAGCTTGGCCTCATTATCACCAAGCTCACATCTTCAATTTACTGAGCACCTTCTGTGTGCCAGCCCTAAGTCTAGTTATTGTAGATACAGAGAATATTCATAGCCCTAACCTCAAAGAGTTTAATGTTCATAACCAATATACAGGTATTCTAGAAAAAGACTAGACATGGTTGGGGTGCCTGGGTGGTGCAGGCGGTTAAGCGTCCACCTCTTGGTGTTGGCTTAGGTTGTGATTTCAGGGTTGAGATTGAGTCCCCCACACCCCCGATTCAGGGTCTGCACTCAACACGGAGTCTGCTTAAGATTCTCTCTCCCTCTGCCCACCCCTATAAAATAAATAAATAAATCTTTAAAAAAAGAGAAACTGGACAAGGGTAAGGACAATATAGCTGTTTTAGAAACCTGCCAAGTATGACCTGCTTTATCATCATCTCTATCTGATTAAAGACCAAAATACTGGAGAAAAAGCTTTGGAGAAAGCCTAGGCCATGTGCAAGCAAGATTATACATACCCCAACCGACAATGCAGAATTTAAGGATGTATTTCCGGATATAAGTATTAAACACTTTCACGAGGGCCAGATACATATGAAATGCTTCCAGGCCCATCCATGTGAATGAGACCAACAGAAAATAATGCAGAAATACAGCCACGGAGATGCAGAGGCCTCGCATGTTATACAGGGCTATCCAAGAATCCAGGAGGAATACCACGTTCAGCAGGAGAAGAGCTGCACACAGCTGGATGAGGATTTTCGAAGGGTAATCCCTCCGAACCTTTCTAAAAGGAAAGGACAAGAAGAATTAGGACAAACAGTGTATGTTCTCATTCATTTGGGGAATATAAATAATAGTGAAAGGGAATATAAGGGAAGGGAGAAGAAATGTGTGGGAAATATCAGAAAGGGAGACAGAACATAAAGACTCCTAACTCTGGGAAACGAACTAGGGGTGGTGGAAGGGGAGGAGGGCGGGGGGTGGGGGTGAATGGGTGACGGGCACTGAGGGGGACACTTGACGGGATGAGCACTGGGTGTTATTCTGTATGTTGGTAAATTGAACACCAATAAAAAATTAATTTATTAAAAAAAAGAAAAGAAAAGAATTAGCATCACATTCTGACAACCCTTATGTGAGCATATCTAAGAAATTTATTGTTATTCTTTGGTAAATGTCTATATGCATAAATTTCTTCTCTGTGTGTGTGCACCAGGGGCAGGCATTAAAATCAACAACCATAACAACAACAAAGGAAAAATCAAAGCAGAATATCCTCTGTCATAACAATATGGAAAATTTATATTTGCATTTCTGTGGAACTTTTTATATGCTGACGGCTGACTCACCCTTTTGAATAATTTGTAGTGGAATCGACAGAGCACCCACCCTCATTTCTCCCAAACTACTTCTAGGAGCACTGCTGCTGCTTCTCATACAATAGGCTCCTATATTCAGATCTTCAACACAGAGCTGGTCCCATATTATGTTATTAGTTAAAATGAGATCATGGAAAGAAGAGTTTAAACTATAGCTAAGTGAAACATGCAGAGGAAATTAGAGCTCATTGATGACATGTGCAAGTCTACATGTGTGAGATTAGACCTGGTGAAATCATTCTGAGTAATGGCTGGCCTGATGGTAATTTAGTCTCATTAATCCTATTTCCAAAGGTCAACTAGAAGATCTGTAGTGACAGCTAAACTCTGAGTTTGGCACGGCAAGGAAATTTGTGCATTTCCTGATCAGTGTCCAAAATCTAAACCCCAGACCTTACATACTGTTTGATTTACTTAATGTAATAAAAGTGCCTATATTGCTTTATTTCCAACAGAATTTATTGGAATCCCTCCCACTCCCCAAAGTGCCCCCTCAGGTAAGCCAAGAAGGAGATGCTATCATTTAGAATGTCATTCTTGCTGCACTTGTGGAATATTTATCTTTTTCAGTGAGGCTTTACACCTTTTCTTCATCCTCATCCCCATACCTGCTATTGTTTTTAATCTTTTGTGTTTGCCCTGTGTAACTTCGAAACTTAGTAACTTAAGCATAGCTCATTTGCTGTACGTGAAGCCATGGTCTAAATCAGATTATAAGCTCTTAGCTTTCAAGGTCCTGCATCGATCTTTCATTTCACACTTAATGTCAGCTAGGTAGCAGGCATCATTCTACGGTAAAAAGATGATTAAGACACAAAAAGTCCCATGAAGTTTTGCATATAGGTGGCACCATTATATGGTATGTAGCATAAGGTAGGCCAAGGAGCACACTTAGTTAATACATTTTGGCAACAGAGGTGAGTACAGCATCCTATAATCCAAGTTTCCAGTGTGGATACTCACTCAAAGGCTAAATAGGTGACCAGAGTAACCGAAAGAAAAATTGATGAAAGCCCACAACCAATATATGTGATAAACGTCAAAGCCATCATCTGAGCAGGTGGCAAGGATGTTCGAGACAGGTCCTGGAAAATAAAATACTGCTTTCAAGACCAAGTATTTTAAATAAATAAAAGAGCTATGATTTACATTTATTGAATGTTCTAAGTGCCCAACCATGGCTCATTCAACAAACATATGAGGTAGACACAATTATTATCATCAAGTCAAAATATGAAAGGGAAGGTTAACCAGAGAGGTTAAATAATTTGCCCAAGGTCACTTAAGTATGAAATGGAGGAGCTGGGATCCAAATTCTGGTCTGGCTGACTCTAAAGCCCATGTCCATGATCAGTACAGATGATTTCATTTGGCTTCCCATCTTTAACAAAGCAGCCATCTGATCACCAGCATCCTCTGCCACCTGTCAGTATTGGGAAGAGTATCTGTCCTATCAGCAAGGCCTTGGCATTATGATGCACTGGAAAAGCACTGGGCTAGGAGCCTAAAGAGCTGAATTTGGCTTCAGACTCTTCTATTTCTTAGTTCTATGACTGTGGACAATGGCCTAACAAGTCTTAATTCTAACTTCTTTTTTTTTAAATTCTAACTTCTTAAAATGACAATCGTAACACCCCATTCCACCTATCTGGTAGGACTGTTGAAGAGACTACATAAGATAACTTATGACAGAGCATTTTATGAAAACTTTAAAGTACAAAGTAAACAATTTTTCTTACACATTTTAATCTCAATTCTGTAGGCCATGCTATTTAAAAGAGGAAAACTTATGTATAAAAATTACACTGGGGATAAAAAAACTTCCATGTTCAAGTATTTTCTTTCAACTACATTTGCTCATTGGAAGAGTAATTTCATTGATCTCTAACTTTGCCACAATATTACACCTGCTAATCAGTCATCCATCACATTAGACATCATGGTGTGACACCCAGCTACCCTTCAGACCCAGAATCTAAAGCCAGGTAGTGTGGGGTTATTACCAGTAAGACACCAAAGCTTGTAAGGTGGCTGCAGGTACAGATGGTTTCATTCAGCTTCCTGTCTTTAACAGAGCAGCCGTCTGAAGACCAGCCTCCTCTGCCACCTGTGGGTATTAGAAAGAGTATCTGTCCTATCAGCAAGGCCATGGCATCAATGATTGCCCCTTCCTCCTCTGTCCTCCTCCTCCCTCCGCCTCTGCCCCTGCCCCTGCCCACTCAGGACTGAAAAAAGGTACGACCAGAACCTACCATTTCTGCCCAAGTCCCAAAATACACATCTCACTGTTAAGTCTTCCTGCAGCGGAAAGATATGTGACAAATAATTAATTTATTGAAATGAAGAAACTGATAAGCAATCAGAAAAAAATTATGAAATTTTTTATTTCAGAATATCACTCTTGATTTTTGGAGAATTCTTATTTTATTCTAGTCCCTAGAAGCAAGTGAGTCTCATATAGGTCAGCATTTCTTAAACTCAGCAATTGTGCATAGGAATCACCTTGAGGCTTTGCTAAAATGCACATTCTGATTCAGGGGGTCAGCGTGGGGCCTAAGAGTCGGCATTTCTATCAAGCTGAAAGTACACGTCTGCAGGCCACATATGAGTAGTAAAGTCATAGATAATGCTCAGTCTTAACTGAAATGAGAGATGTCTTCTCTTTGGGGGTGAGAATCAGACCTGTAGCCACAGACCTAAATGCACTAAAATTGGGGGATTGATGATAGCTGGCTTTTGCACTGCACTTTGTTAGAAATTAGGTGGTCAGTTATTAGGCATGCTAAGATCCCACAGACAATATGATCCTAGTCTCACACACTGCCTTAACTGAATTTGGGATTCGGCTGGATATCCTTTCCTCAGGCCAAGTCTGACAGATGTGCTTTGTGCAAGTGTATCCGGTCATGAATAGACCAGACAGGTCTCTCCCACCTGGCTCGGGTTGATGTGCTTTAATGTAATCGTCACATTTCTTGTCAAGTTCTTAACAGTCAGGTTTGCAACACTGGACGATATGACGTAGCTGATCAGAGAGAAGTTCTCCAGGGAAGGGTCCTAGCACACCAAAGAATCAACAAGATGGCAAGGGTAAAAATGAGATGTCATCAGAGAACTTTAGAGCTGGAAGGGACCCCAAAGACCATTAAGTCCACACCGTTGATTTTATAATCTAGGTGAGAAATCAAGAGTCACAAAGTGACTTTCCCAAGGACCACAATTAGAAACAGAGCTTACTCTACTATACAGTGCTTTAAATACAGACTTAAATTTCACAAACTGACACAACAGGACCCTCATGAACTGTAAAGGGAATAGAACATTACGCCACTTACACTGTGTATTCTTGAGCAAGTTAACCTTTCTGCACTTCCTTGCCCTCATCTGTAAAATTGGGACAATAGCTGAATAGTTTCTCCCTCATAAGGTTGTAGAGATTAGAGTTAACATTCCTAAGTGCTTAGTAGAGTGCTCGGCAATTGGTAAATGCTATATATAAATGTCCATTATTGTTATTTATCATTACCAGCATCACTAGGTCCTGTTTAAAAACAGGGGCACCTGGGTGGCTCAGTGGTTGAGCGTCTGCCTTCGGATCAGGTTGGGATTCCGGGGTCCTGGGGTCGGGCTCCCTGCAGAGAGCCTGCTTCTCCCTCTGCCTGTGTCTCTCCCTCTCTCTCTGTGTGTCTCTTATGAATAAATAAATAAAATTTTTAAAAATTAAAAAAAAACCGTAGGGGAACCTGGGTGGTACAATTGGTTCAGCATCCGAGTCTTGGTTTCAGTTCAGGCCATGATCGTGAGGTAGTGAGATCGAGCCCCATGTTGGGCTCTGTCCTTATCGGAGAGTCTGCTTAGAGTTTCTCTCTCTCCCTCTGCCCCTCCACACTACTCTCTCCCAAATAAATAAATAAATAAATAAATAAATAAATAAATAAATCTTTCAAATAAATACATAAAAATAAACTGCAAAAAATTATAAATAAATAAAAACAAACTGCAGCTTTCATGTGAAAAAAAAAACAAACGAAACCGCCCCACTCCAAAATAAAAATTAAACAAAAAGCAGTGCTAATTAACTTTACCTGAAACAGGGCAGGTGTTTCAAAGAAGTTGAACTGAACCCTGGAAGCAAGCTCCACATCATTAGCTGGTAAATTACTCATCAGTGATGAAGGCAGAGTAATAATTCCAATACTGTTCTCAGGAGCCTGAGTTTCCAGAGAAACCTGAAAATCAAGGAAAAGATAATAAAAATGCCTGGGGCTAGTATAATGAAGAGATGGAAAACACAAGAACTCATTAAGATGGAGGATCCTGTAAAAGCATTTATTTGTGGTACCTCTGTAAAATCGGTTCTTATTTCTCTGATGCTATGAAATTGGAAAGGATGTATAATAGGGAGATGAGGCCTCAGAGCAGGAAAGGGAACATTTTAAAGCTACACAGAAACTATCAGAAAGTGTAGGATGCTATATGTCAATTATAGCTCAACAAAACTGGGGGCAGGGGGAGGTGCAGGGCAACTGCAGACACCAACCCGGCCACCTGTTAGGGCAAAGTCTTCATAGAACCACATGCACTAAACTTATAAAGGGAAGACTATAAAAATTAAATTAAAAGGCAAGAAAGGCATGATTTGGTCTGATTTGGGCATTTCCAGCCCCTGATCCCTCTAATAGGTGGATAGAAAACACTAGAAGCAGGATTGATACTCCACTACTGACAGCAACGCAGTCGAAACACTTGTTAAAATGTTGCAATGCCTTGATAAGTAGCTGATGTCCCCACTGTCTTGCAACTGCCTAGAACACTCCACTGGACACTTCTCCCCACCTGAGCCCCCTACTTCCCCAAAAAACTTCTACAATCTAGCTGCTAGAGGGTTAACACTGGGCACAAGGACCTCTCAGATCTTGCTCCCGCTAAGATCAATGTCCTGTTTCTGATTTTGTGGTGCTTCACTGTTCTAGATGTTAAATATTTTGAATATCACCCTTGACTATAAGCAGTACCTGCCTCCATCATGAAGTACATGGAGACTACAATCATATACAAGGAAAGGTTTTTACCACAATAGATTAGGATGTACCTGAAGATTTGCTGGGTCTTGGGCAGCAAAGGTAGTTGTGTCGAAATTACTAGCATTGACTCTAATCACAGCCAGAGCCAAAGAAGGGGAGGTTAGAGTTATGGTCTTGGTTGAAAAATTCAGTTGTAAACCGATGTCATCCACTATTTTTAGCAATCTGTAAAGATAAGTGGTAGCTCAAATTCAGCACTCTCACTTCTCCATTCTAAGCAGAATATGCAGTAGCAATTGAGCCAGTCATCATGAACCTCTTATGTGGAAGAAAAACACTTGGCTATAATTAATCCTGATAAGAAGTATCGTTATCATTAGAGGGTCCCCTCTCCTGACCACATCAGTTTGCTAAGTCATACCTTTGGGCCAGAGGAGCCAGCAAGGCAGGTGGAGAATGAAGGAGTTTACTGACATGATTTATCATTTCTCCCGCGAAGTTAGGCTCCAAGCTGCCCAAGGATAGAGCCTTCTCCATTTGGGACACTTGGTTCTCAAGATCAGAATCACTGATGCTGCTGGTATGAACAATTTCTATAACAGAGAGCAAAATAATTTTATGAACACATAATGGAAAAACCACTAATAAAGAAACACAACATAAGACTCTATGACCTGGCCAACCTACTCTTGGGTATTTGCCCCAGGGAAATGAAAACATGTCTCAAGAAAACTTGTTTGTGAATGTTTATAGACGCCCTTTTCGTAATAGTCCCAAGCTGGAAACAACCCAAATGTCTATCAACTGAAGAATGGATAAACAAACTGTGATCCATCTATATAATGGACTATTTATTACTCAGTAATTAATAGGAGCCGCTGATACCTGCAGCAACATAGATGGATCTTCAGTTCTCCAATGTATTATGTTAACTGAAAGAAGCCAGTCTCAAAAGGCTGCATATGATTCTCTTCAGATGACATTTTAGAAAAATTGAAAGTATTAGAAAACAAAACAGATCAGTGGTGGCCAGGAGCTGGGGTCTTAGATAGGAGTTGACTACCAAAGAACACAAAGGAACTTTGGGGGTGGTGGAAATGTTATACGTCATGATGGCAGTTATGTGACTATGGGTGTTTAATCCAACCTAATGGAACCATAAACATTTCATCTATCCATAGATCTGGATGAATTTTACCACATGTAAATTATACTTCAAGAAACTAACTGTGGCTCCTGGCTAGCTCAATGTGAAGAGCATGTGACTCTTTATCTCAGGGTCATGAGTTCGCACCTCACGTTGAGTGTAGAGATTATGTAAAAATAAAATCTTAGGAAGAAAAAAAGAAAGACACCTAACTGAAAAAAATGTAAAAGCATATCAGTGTATTTAGTGTGTATTTATATAAGTATAAATATACTTATATCTAATTTATATCATGTGTACAGGATTTCACATGGTTAACAAGTGGCTCTTTTTGTGAAAAAGAAAGTATCGTGAAATTAATAGCTATATGACCACCTATAAACTGGTTTTCAATAGTGTTTTTAATTGGGAAACAATGCTACAAACCTGTCTAGCAACAAGAAAGTCTCTTAATTCCACCACCTAACACCCTATTTCTTATTTTGCATGTTCCCTTCTAATCTTCATCCATGTGTTATACTGCTATAAACATAGTGTATGAACTATTTATTGTTGCATTTTCATTTCACTCAAGACTGTAAAGATGCCCCCCCCTCCCCGAGTTTAGAGTTTCATCTAGCTGTTCTTATGCCTGGCTGCAAACAGTCATCCTGCTGAGGTGGCTTACAGTACCTCTTTAGTCCTCTCTTGTGGAACTGTTAGTTTGTATCTACTTTTTAGCCACCAGGTAATACTCTCACATCTTTTGTATGTATGTCACTTTTGTCCTGTTGTCTCATTGGCTAACGAACTTCAATTTTACTTTATTCATCATCAGTCATTAAATTTTCTCTAAACTGAAGCCCCAATGATTTTATAATGTGGCCTAAAATGTCCGTATGTATAAAGAAAATTGAGAGAGCAGTGCAGATTCAAAGAACTATCAAGTCATTTGACAGCCACTCTCAGCCTCCTGGGGATGCTCCGGGGGAGGAGGCAGAGACCACACCCTGAGCTCTAATCTCCTGTCACCAAGAACTTGGTTTTGTCTCCCACTCCCCCAATAGAGGAAGGTCTGCTCCTTACTCACTAAATTGAACCTTCACAGCATCCAGAATTCTCTTGCATCTTCTGCTTCTTGTCTTTATCTCTTTACCTCTAAGACTACTTTGTGTGTGGGAGCCCTCTGCAGGTTCCATGGCATTCTCCTATAAACCATCCTTCTAAACCTAGTGCAGCTAATGTGACTATTTCCATCTTAAAGTCATGGAAGCTGAAGTCAGGAAGAGCTAACTGGCTTAATCCAGATCATTGCCAGTGAGGACTCACAGCTAGGTCTTCTGAATGTTTTTCCCCCACTCACAGCAACCTGGGCTCAGTCCCACCTCTGTCACTCTGCGATGGACCTTTTCTCAAGAATGCTAAGTTTTTCTTTTGTCATCTTTCTAAATGGAATTACTGTATTTAATAGTACAAAAGTTTTGGGGGGCTCCCGGGTGGCTCAGTTGGTTAAGCATCCAATTCTTGGTTTCGGCTCAGGTCATGACCTCAGGGTCCTGGGATTGAGCCCCCGCACTGGGTTCCACACTCAGCAGGGAGTCTACTTGAGATTCTCTCGCCCTCTCTCTCTCTGTCCCTCCCCCCACCATGCTCTCTCTCTCTCTATCTCTCCCTCTCTCTAAATAAATCTTTAAAAAAAGTTCAAAAGTCTCCTATTCAGAATGTTGAAAACAGTGACCTAATAATCTTTTGTAGGAGAAAGAAACCTATAAATAAATGATAAAATGAGATATGCCTCAGCTATTTCTCCACTCTCTTGGTCAAAACAATCAAACTCAGCTATATCTATGTTCTATGAATATCTGCAGGAAAGCTCTCGAAATCAAGCAGACATCACAAAAAGAAAGTTTGACATGGTCTTATTCAGATATCTTGATTTGGCAGGCTGGCATCTGCATTTCAGGAAGCCAGATTATAACAAACAGCAGCAGCGTGGTTCCTCATATTTACCTGTCTTGTTAGGAGGTGTGCTGGTTGTGATGACATTCACAGGGGCAGATGTGGTAAGAGAGGAAAGTGAGGATTTCATAGGTGGTAGTGTGTAGGAAAGATCAGTTTGGGTCATAGAAGAAGAGACTGTTCCAGAATTGGGTGGCATGTCAATGGCAGGGCTGGAAGATAGGGAAGCTGAAGGCTGGGGAGAAGGAAGCTGAATCACTCGTGTTGGAGAGGGAGGGCTCAGGGTTACAGGTGGAGGATTTAGAGGCTCAGCAAAAGAGAAGGTACTGGAGACCTGGGACAGAATAGTGGTCTGGGGAGCAGCTGGGATGGAATTGCTAGAAGAAGAAAATGGTGAGCCATCTGGATGACCAGCAAGACATACAACAGGATCCTGCAGGTCGCTAAAGGAAAGAATCAGAGAGATGCATGTGAGATACGAATGAGTCACAGAGAGGCTAATCTCCTCCTCTGGCAACCATCCGACACCACCAAGGTGACTTGGCTCCATTGGGGACCTGCCACTACTCCAGCCTCTGCCCCTGCATGCCCTCTGTGCCCTTGCCACCAGCCCCCGGACCTGCCCACTTCTACGACCTCCTCCTTGGGAGAAGATTATGCAGGCGAGAGGCTCTTCTATGAACTGCCAGTTCTGGTTCACTCACTCACCACCTCTCTCGGGCTCTTGTGCCTTATCATTTATCACTCAGTTGCCGAGATCCTGGAACACTTCTACGTGCTTCTGGAGGAGGGGAGCTGTTAAATGCTGCTACCCACCTGGTTGGTTTTCATGTATTAGGGCTCTGTCTCATATGTTTGCTTTAGATTTTACAAAATGTATTCTCAAAAAAGGGTAGAATCTCATGCCCAAACTGTTCCTAACATACTGTAAAGTTCTCTAGAAACTTAAATACCAAAATATCATTTTTTCTTTAATGTTCAAATCCACATTAACAAAACCAGCTCACATTTTCAGAACTGATTTGACTTTGAAGCCAAAGCATATCCATTTCAAAACTATATTTGCACAGAATAGATTCATAAACTCTAAGTTAACTCAGTATTAACATGAGGTACAAAAGGGTATGGCATAAATTTTAAAAGCGGCCTTAAATATACCAATAACAATAAACTGTTCTTCAGGTTTTTCCTGTAGCTTTTGCAAAGCACACAATTCGGTCAATTTCATTTACAATCTTCTGTGTATTGATCCATATTAGAAAAATGTGCAAAAATCATTATTAATGATTTGGAGAATGGAATTTTTTATTTTGGCAAATACTCATACTGGTCTTAGTGAGTCACAGGTAAGCCTTTCCTTTCCACGAAACCTCAAATTTAGCTCACTCACATGCAGTGTAATATTGGCTGGGAAAGGTAGCTCACACTGCCTTTTTTTTTCTTTGACGTACTGAATTTTGTTTCAAGAAAATCTTGAACTGAGGTCAATAACACATAAACTTCTGTGAAATTGATGAACATAGGAATCTGTCTAATTAATTTTAGACTGCAATAGCCCAGGATGATGCTAACTGGCACAGAGTCTAACTGGCACATAGTAAGTGACCAGGAAATGTTCATTGAATGAAATAATGAATTAAGCTGGGGCCAAAGGGGTCCCCAGTTTGTAAACCAGCTATGCCCCTAATGTTGCTTTAGCCCAGTGGTTCTCAACCTAGGCTGCACATGAGAAAACCCAGAGGACTTTAAAAATATAGAGAGATTTCTGTGGCCTACTCCCCAGCATGTTTTGGTTGGTCTTGGTGCAGCGGTGAGGTTCCCAGGGCCATATATTTTCACGGCATGGAAGATTGAGAAGAACTCATCTACTATCAAGATCTACCAGTCTTGGGGTTAGGGGAAGAGCAAGCAGAGGGGGGCAAAAAATTATTACCTAGGGAAGCCTCTCATGGGTCCAGTTTTATACGGTGATCTAAGAGCACCAACTAGAATGTGTCTTTAGAGCTTCTCTTGGGTGAGAGGACCCAGGAATATTAGGTTGAGGAATTCAAGGCAGGTCATGCCCATAAAAAGAAATGCTGGCTCAGTCTAGTCTGGCCAGACAACTGCCAGAAGCCTCACTACACAGCCTGAGGTTCAGGACAGCAGTGCGGATGAAGGCGTGCCAGACAGTCAGAAAGCTGATGAGTCAAGGAGCCTTGCCTGAGGCTCCAGCTCTCCTTAGTCTTCTAGGAAATCCACCCAACTGCTCTGAGACTCGTTCTTTGAATTGTATATGGTAGCAACTCATCAGGCCAAGTCATGGCAAAGGTGCTTTGCAAAGTATAAATTAAATTTCCTTTTTGCATCTGGGGTCCTACAGCAACCAAATCCCCCAGCATAAGGGTTCCCATTCACTGGGCTCCAGCATGAAGAGGCTACCCTCTCTCTAATGCTTTTGGCATTTCTGCTACTCAGAACCCTCCATCTGTTGGTAGAGGCACACCGGGAGAGGCCGAACAGTGGTGGGCAATGGCAACCATACATTAGAAACCTCAGAGCAAGGACGCCTGGGTGGCCCAGCGGTTAAGTGTCTGCCTTCAGTTCAGGGAGTGATCCTGGGATTCCAGGATCCCAAGTCCCACATCGGGCTCCCTGCATGAAGCCTGCTTCTCCTTCTCCCTGTGTCTGTCTGTCTGTCTCTCTCTCTATCGCTCATGAATAAATAAATAAAATCTTAAAAAAAAAAAAAAGAAACCTCAGAGTGCTTTAGCACAGGTGCAAGGGCTCCCACTCCAAACCAACCAAACTGTTCTCTGGGGTGGGTGCAGGCATCCACGTTGGTTTTAATATGCTTCTTCACCCAAGTCCAGCCTACATACAGTAGACTGTACTGATCTTATATTTAGAGCTTGAGGATTTGTATACATGTATACACCTATATCATCACCACCCAGATCAACACCAAAAAGGCCACTCTGACATATCAGTAGGTTTTAAAAGGGCCTGGCAGGGTATCTGGGTAGCTCAGTCTGTTAGGCATCTGTTTTACACTCAGGTCGTGATCTCAGGGTCCTGGAATGGAGCCCCACATCAGAGGGGACTCTACTTCTCCCTCTCCCTCTGCCCTTCCCCCTGCCCATGCACTCTCTCTCAAATAAATAAAATCTTTAAAAAATTTTAAAAATAGGGCACCTGGGTGGCTCAATTGGTTAAGTGTCTGCCTTCAGCCCAGATCATGATCTCAGGGTCCTGGGTTCGAGCACCACATTGGGCTCCCTGCTCAGCGGGGAGTTGCTTCTCCCTCTGCCTCTGATCCTCCCCTCTCTCGCTCTTTATCTCTCTCTCTCTCTAATAAATTAAATCTTTTAAAATTAATTAATTAATTAAAATAAAAGGGCCCGAGGTATTTGCAATGTGCAGCCAATCTTAAAAACCAATGTATTATAAAGACCCTAAGCCATCACCTAATTCTAGCCTAGTGGTTCTCATATTTAGTTGCACATTAGAATTACCTCACCCAAGGGGCTCCTGGGTGGCTCAGTCAGTTAAGTGTCTGACTCTTGATTTCAGTTCAGGTGATGATCTCAGAATCATGAGATTAAGCCCCACATCAGGCTCTGTGTTCAGTGGGGAGTCTGCCCCTCCCTCTGCTCGTGGTCTCACTCTTTCTCTCAAATAAAGAAATAAATAAAATCTTTTTTCAAGAAGTCACCCCACCCAGGAATCCTGAAAAATCTGGAAGCCTGGGCTGTACCCCAGACCAATGACATCACCATTTCTGAGGGTAGGAGGCAGGGCTTGGTGCTTTTAAAACTCCCCAGATGATTCCAATGTGCATCCAGGGTTGAGAACCACTGCTCTATGATCTAGACCCACTACTCAAAGTGGGGTCCATGAACCAGCAGCCCTGGCTTCACCTGGGAACTTGTTTGAAATTCAGAATCTCAGGTCTTTCCCAGACATGCTGGATTAGAATTTTAACAAGATCCTCTGTGACTGATACACTCAGCAACTCCTGAGAAGTGCTGATAGGGCTCACTTCCTTATTTTACAGAGAAGGAACCTGAGACTATATAAAGGACTCTTAAAAACTGATCAGGGGCTCAGTCGGCTAAGCATAGGACTCTTGATTTTGGCTCAGGTCATGATCTCAGGGTCATGAGATCTAGTCCTGCTTTGGGCTCTGTGCTCAGTGGGGAGTCTGCGGGAGATTCTCTGTCTCTCCCTCTGTTCCTCCCCCTGCTCTCTCTCTCTCTCAAACAAAGAAACAAACAAATAAAATCCTAAAAAAAAAAACCCAACTGATTAGATATCCAGTAGAAAAAAGTGGGAAAGACACGAACAATTAACAAGAAAGATATAAAAAATGACCCCCAAATACATGAAAAATGTTCAAATAGTCCTCATAAGAGAAGTGCAAATTAAAATACCACTGAGATACCCTTTCTCAACTACCAAACTGAAAAAATATGATGGCATTTGGTTAGTGAGGCTGGGTGAGGGGCAGGGGCCAGAATATTTGTAATACTCCCCAGGTGATTTTAATGTGCAACCAAGATTGCAAACCATTATTTCAAGGTAATGGTCCAAATGGAAACTTGATACAACAAAAAACTGCATTTCCCCTAAGACTGAAAGCCCTTCTTCGCTGTCAAAATTCCAAACTCCCTTAGCCAGCAGGGTGATTAAATATTATTATTATTAATTATAATAATTAATAATTTTAGGAAAAAATTCAGCATGTTTGCTACATACCACTGCAGTTTTCCCAACTCTTCCGGGGAGGAAGGGCAGGGTATCCTGACAGAACAGCAGCACTGCTCTGGAGACAACAGAAAAGAAAGAAGAAAATACATGGTCAAGAGTAAGGCAAGACAGATGCTCTGATCCACCAAGTATTATGGTTCCTACACTGGCTGTATTTTATAGTGCATTTGTCTAAAACAGATGATAAAATAAAACTGGATACTATTATATTGACAATCATACATACATAATAAGTGCTCAAAAATATTTTTTGAGTAAATACTTTGGGGGAGGTTATATACATGCAATATCAGTTGCTCTTCAGCAGCTCCTTAGAAGAATTCCAAAGTAAATAGAACCAGTAGCAATCTATCAAACACTCCAAACAGAGGTCTCCCTCTCTCAGTAGGGTTTTTTCTATCATGTTTCAAATACAGTATACTGAAACTTTATTGAAAAAGTGGGAAAAATCACTTTTTAGAGCTCTCCAAAAACTGAGAGTCAAAACAGAAAGCTGTAACATACTTAAGTTTATCGATTGTATTTTCAGTTTTAAAAAGAACACGTAAAAGTCATGTGAAAACAAACATAGCAATAAAGGCAGAGACAACTTACCCATTGGTTGGATCTTTACTTTTTTCAAAGCAACCATTATAGCACATATGTTCATTGTTTTATTCATTTTTATTGTGAATGTACAATTTAATGTGCTGTAAAGAGAAATACATATAACCAGAATGTTACTAAACTGGAAACCTACCTACATATTTGTAAATGCTTTTTCAAGTTTGGGAATGAGGAAAGGAGACACTGATGCTGTGAACTTGCAATGTCAGCCCAATAAGCCTGTGAACACCCACGACTCTCAACCATGAGACATTTATAGAGGTTTCCAGTTGCAGAGGTTGCAAACCAGAGACCCTCTGACCACACAACTACTGAAACATTTTGCCTGCAGGAACTATGATCTGGCAGGGGTGTAACTTGTTTGCAAAGACAAGCATCTCAACATCTAGAGTCTTACCCTCAGCTAGCTACTCACCTGGTATCTATCTGTAGGCATTTGAATTTCCATCATGGAAGCCCTGTCATATACCAGCCTAGGTGAACATTGAGGTCTCTTAAATCCAAAATCTCTCTGGCAATTCAATCTAGATTATCAGATAACTAGCAATTTAAGACATTACTGGTTTGTTTTGTTTTACTTTAGTCTTGATTTATGTGAAAAATTACTAATGTTGCAAATAACAAAAAGTGGTAAGTGAAATAAACTAAATATGTATAGTGGATAAGGATTCAATCTATAGTTTCATGAATAATTGCCACTATTTGTACCAAAGAATAGCCTCATGAGCAGAAGCTGTCATTTTCTAGGTCCTGCACTCTGATAGGTCACCCAGGATTCAAAGGGCAAGATTACTGATTTATATAAGTCATTCGCTTATGCAGCCAAGACAGCCGATGGACACAATTTGTAAATGATCATCTGTGCAATTTAAATAATTGTTGGGCAATCTCTGATTCACCTTGCACACTTTTCAATCTATTCCTCTCTTTCCTTCTTCTCCCAAGCACCATTATTATACTGCTTCTTCTCTGTCTGGCCTTCACTAGGCTGGACCCCTGGGAAACATTTCTTGGTTATATCGGCAGCCCTTGGGGCTAAGGAAACTGATAATCCTTAGCATCGCCACACCAGAGGCAATGGCCCAATCCCACCCACCCCTCTGTGAGTTATAAAAAAATGAGAAGATGGGGACACCTAGGTGGCTCAGTGGTTGAGCGTCTGCCTTCAGCCCAGGGCATGATCCTGGAGTCCCGGGATCGAGTCCCACATCGGGCTCCCTGTGAGGAGCCGGTTTCTCTCTCTCCCTGTGTCTCTACCCCTCTCTCTCTCTCTCTGTGTGTGTCCCTCATGAATGGATAAATAATTCTTTAAAAAAAAAAAGAAAGAAAGAAATGGGAAGATGGATGTGACAATGATGTGTTTCAAAGAATAAAACCATATATCCAAAATGTCATGAATATGTATTTATTTTAGAGGAAAATATTTGAATTTGCAACCTAAGACCCCTCAATACTTTATTTCTCATGAATAGAGAACTAATATGGATAAAAGTATTAAAAATGACTGACCTCTGGGCCTCTGCTGTAGCACACACTATAAAGTAAGTCTGAAACAAATAAAAAATATACTGGTTACTTTGACAGTTGAGAATGTCAGACAAACAACCCAGGACTTATCACAGCATCATAGAATCTTAGACTCACAAGAACCCCTAGGGATCATCCAATTCACATTGCTATCAGATTCCTGTTGTATCGTCAAAGCTACTTGGAACAAACAGGCTCTGCTTGCATCCTGCTACTGTCGAGGAACTTGCTACCACACAAAGGAGCTCATTCTGGAGCCCTCATTTTAAGAAGCTTTAGGTTTTACATGAAGTAAAATCTATCACCATATAATATCTATCTATTGTGATTTCCAGTTCTGATTCTGGATCCCTCCCATTCTGATTTCTGGAATATGGAACTAGTCTATTCAATCTTTAATAGGACAGATTTGGGAAAGTTTGAATACAACTATCCTCAGGAACACAGAACTCTGTGCCTTCCCCCAAAAAGAAACAATAATTATAAATGAAGTATAGGATGTACTATGATTACCTCACTTAAGGTTTGCAGGGTTTTGTTGAGCTCTGATCGTCTGTTAATAAAACGAGAGAAATTGACATGAAGGAGATCACTGGTGATGTTAAATTCAAAACAAGTTAGATTTTTAGCAATTAAATTAAGCCTATGGCATTTATTGCTTTCAGTGTTCACTTTGAAGAAAACACTGGGTATACTAAGAGATTCCCACGTGAGAAAAATAAATTATTTATAAGACAAGGGAAACTAACCAGTCAGAAGCTGTATAGTTTCCAGCCAACAGCAAGATATAAATTATGGTTGAACAATCTTGTTATTCATTAGGCTCGGGCAACCCCCCAGGCAGCTTCTTCTGGCAGAGGGCCCTGGGAAGAGCTGGCCAGAGGCAAAATTTCTGAAAGGGGCCCACCACTCAACATGGGGCCCTGCACCCCTGATTTCTTCCTCACTCCCTCTCCACCTGCCCTCTCCTGTCCTCTAACGCACTCCAGTCCCTGGTCCCCTCCTCACCACTCCTCTTTAAGACCTTTCCTCATTCCTCTCCTCCAATCCCACTCCCAGTAACACTTTTAAAAACTTTTTAAGATTTTATTTATTTATTTGAGAGAGTTCACAAGCTGGGGGGAGGGAAGGAGGGAGAGGGAGAAGCAGACTCCCCACTGAGCAGGGAGCCCCACGTGGGGCTCTGTCTCCAGACCCTGAGAAATCATGACCCAAACCAAAGGCAGATTCTTAACTGACTGAGCCACCCAGGCACTACCCCTCCAACAACACTTTTATTTCTTCTATGTAGAAGAGCTTCACAGGAAGTTAGGATAAAAGAAATCATTAAAGAATTCACTCTAAGAAAATCCCTATTGGGCAGCCCAGGTGGCTCAGTAGTTTAGTGCAGCCTTCAGCCCAGGGCCTGATCCTGGAGACCCGGGATCGAGTCCCACATCGGGCTCCCTGCATGGAGCTTGCTTCTCCCTCTACCTGTGTCTCTGCCTCTCTCTGTGTGTGTGTCTCTCATGAATAAATAAATAAAATCTTAAAAAAAAAGAATTCACTCTAGAGGAGCTGGGGGCGGGGGGTGGGGTGGGGGGTGCTCAGCAGGTTAAGAATCTGCCTTTGGCTCTGATCATGATCAAGATCTAGGAGTCCTGGGGTCAGCTGTGTCTGGCTTCCTGCTTAGTGGGGAGCCTGCCTTTCTCTCTTCCTCTGCCCCTCCCCTCGCTTGTGCTTTCTCTCTCAAATAAAATCTTTTAAAAAAGAAGACAAAGAATTTAAGGCAATTGTTCTCAACTCGGGGGAGGGGGGCATGCAGGGACAGACTCTGCCCCTCAAGGGACATTGGGCAACATCTGGAGAGGTTTTTGATTGTCACAATTGGGGGTTGGGTGTTACTGGCATCTAGTGGATAGAGGTTAGGAATCTGTGACACTGCATAATAGAGAGCTGTCAGCTCCAAAATGTCAATAGTGCCAAGGCTGACAAGCCAAGCTCCAAGGAATGCACAAAAGTTCTAGATGGTTCCAGGGAAGGTCTGAAGGAAAAAAGATAAGGAGTGTGGCAACAGTAGGCAGTCACCCGGCTTTTCTAGCCAGCAGAAGCCACCTTTCTGAGGGTCTCCCTGGCCCCTGCAATCAAGTCCCACCGCTCTTCTTGCTCTATATTTAGATACACAGAACATCCTTTGGTACCCTGGACATGTCATGTTCACTGGAGGGATTGTACTGTATTGTTATTTGTTTGTATCCTATGTCTGTCCTGCCAGACTCTAGACTCCTGGTTCTAAAAATTGGCCTCATGCTGAAACTGCCAGGGGGCATTCAAAAATACCAACATCCGTATCCCAGCCCCCGAATACTGATCTAATTGTTACAGATTGTGCCTGGACACCAGGACTTTTAAAAGCTCCCTAGGTGATTTTAATATGCAGCCAGGGTAGAGAATCCTTGTTCTAGAATGCTTTCCATCCTGAGCGTTGGGTTTATCCCCAAGGTCAAACACATAGTAGGTGCTCAACAAATGCACCGTGGCTTTAAATAACTCCTCTGTGTTTCAAGTCTAGTCATTAAGTTGTGTTCTATTTAGAAGTTTTAAAAATGTTATCCTATTAATATTATTTACTGTCTAAAGTTTAAGATACTTTTAGGACATTGATATCTCCTGCTCTTTATTTCACACATATACTTTGAATAGCTAGGGAAGCTACATTTTTATCAGGAGTTCATAAAATAAGTGGAAAGGACAGAAATTCCACTCCAGTCCATCCCAGTTATCACTAGTTTAACTGTTTGCCGCTACACATTCAGGGGAGCCCTCGAGATGTTTGACATCCATCAGGCGGAGTCCTAAGGGTCCTCTCCACCTATGCATTGCTGACTCATCATTGCTGACTCATTGCTGACTCAGTGGAAGCAGTCAAGTCAAAATGCTAATTGAAAAGATGACCCTTTAAAAAAAAAAAGAAAAGAAAAGATGACCCTTTAGAAGAGTTTTGTTTTGACCTAGGAAAGGTTTTTTTTTCTTCCATGTCATCATAGATACTCCCAAAAGCTTTTGGATTTGGTTCAAAAGTTGAGGAGACTCTCCTTTGAGAGGTAGTAGCAAGGTTGAGAGTAGATGGATTTTATCTAGGATCCTATGCTGCTTCCCTGCACAAGGGTGAAGACATAATGTTTCCCCTTCCACTGACACTCAGGTAAGACGGTCTCCAGGCCTAGACTGACATTTTGACCTTGTGTCTGACCAGGAGCATCTATATTTGTGATGTATTTCTCTCACTGTCCGTGCTTGTCCCTGGAAGCTGGTACCTACTTCATGAAGACCCCCCTCTGATTTTTGAATGACTGATATTTCATAAACACCTGAACAAATGGAATACATGGCATCCTACCTCAAACTCTTCTTCCAACCTTTCTGGCTACCAAATCATATTGCAGCTCAATAACCAGTGAAAATGGACCTCCTACATACCTTCAGAGCATCAAAGAGAACAGCCTCATGGGGCTATTACTTGATGACAAGTGACCACTGTCTATTTGCTAAGAACTTGAGAACTAATTCTTTATAACTTTTGGGCCTATTTCCTATTCTCAGTTCCCAAGAGGAAGATAGCTCAACAAATATCTTTCCATTGTTGATGCCATAACTTTAAATCAAGCAGCAGATTACTCACTTTGATTCCCTTAGAGATGGGATTCCAGATAAGGTGCCATTAGCCATATTTTGATTCTGTCAGGAACACAAAATCATTAAGAATACAACAAATATTGTCATGTGTTTTTTATATTCTCTAACAAGAAGTTGTTCTTCAATTTCGTTGATCACCCAAAAAAATACACCTCAAAGACTGAATACTAATTGCATGGAGTATTTATTGTCTAGCTAATGATCAAATCCATATTGACTGCGCTAGTTTTTGTTTTTACATTTCCTATAAAAATATTCTGAATCAGCAAGTCTAATGTGCTAATTAATTTCATTATTCCAAGGGTTCCCCCAAAAGAATCCGATTAAAGCTTTCCCCATGAAAAGCCCTGGACTTAAGTACAAGATCCCAGTGTAAAGAGGGAACTTGGTAGCAGCCTTCACTGCATTTTCTAGCACCCTCAATCCTTGCCTGGCACATCGCAGGTGCTCAGGAAATAGTCACTGAAAGAACAAACCACATTTAGCTGGGATCCTCTGAACCAATCTAGGTCATGGGAAGTCTGATACTAATGCATCTGAATCCCCCATGGGGTGAAAAAGGATGAGATTCATAAGACTACTCTTAGATTCAATATATTACTTATTGGTAGAAGTTTCTCATATAATTTTAAAATTTTAAAGGCCATAGGATTCCATCGTGTAAACATTCAGCAGCAAGCTTAGTAAAAACTGAAATAGGCTGATTAACAAAGCACCATGATTATTATGAAGTCAAACCCTCTTGACAAAGTCAGTGATTCAACAACACATATTTTATTTAAATTTTGTCATAAAAGTAAATATGCCGAATACCATGAATAATCTGAACCTTAAAACAAATCTTTAAATTCACAAGCACTTGCTTTTTAAGATTGCAGTAAAAAAAAATCTTTAAAACCTACCTGAGTAACATTGCTTTCTTCATATTGAAACATTATCTCACCTCTAAAAAATGCTAAAAATAAATTTGCAAAACAAAGTTTGAGATTTGCATCCTTAGAGCTTAAGGATTAATACAACACAGAAAAAGATTATCAGATTATTTTATAAACAGTTTCATCAAATTCTTTGCAGGGACTCACATTGACTGTCTTTCCTATTAGAACGTTACTCAATGACCATCAATATAATTTTCAGAAAATGTGAACCATAAATTCTATGCAGGAATGCAGAAAGAGAAAAAACCTGTCTCCTTGTCTAGAAATTTTAATCCTACATGCTGCTCATCAGAGCTTGGCTTCCCATAAAGATGCTAACTTGGGGAACTGTGGCTCTGACATTAAAAATCTTTTTGGGTTGTTCTAGTTACAGTTACATACATAAAGGCAGGAGGGAAAAAGTGTTTCTCAGAAATTAAGTAGCCTTAAAAGAGTCTATTTATTCCTTGCTGCTTGGGCTTTTTTTTTTTCCTTTTTAAATATAGCTACCAAATGCAATCTCTTCCCTAGGAACAAAGTTGAGATTTTTGCTTTGGATTTTGCATACCTGAATGGTATGCAGGGAGAATCCTTTCTTCAGCTGAACAACTCATTGTGGCTTTCATCCCAGAAATGCCAGAAAATCCTGTTCTTAAAATGCTCACTTGGGAAAAACAGAACTCAATTTCAGTCAACCTATTTTCTACAGGGTAGACTTGGAGGGGCTCCGACTTGATCAGAAAAAAAGAAAATACAGAGTCCTTAACAGAAGTACACTGTGTGCACTTCATAATCTACAGAGACAGAAAACTGGCCTCTTGAGCAGAAGGGCAAAGAGGTCATACAAACTGGTGCAGGTGTCAACCACCTTTTTGGTATCAGATCAGATATTTGAGGTCTGGTGGGCCATCTATTCTATCAGAACTAATCAACTTTGCAGTTGTAGCATGAAAGCAGCCAAGCAATATGTACATGAATGGCATGGCTATATTCCAATAAAACTTTATTTACAAAAACAGGTGGCAGGCATTATTTAGACTATGGGCAGTTGTTTGTCAATGCCTGAGCTGCAGGGCTGAATGCCTTTTCAGCTCATCTTTTATAGCAACCCAAGGTACAACTGATTCCTACAGCCAAGTACCCAATGGTCCACTTCTACTTAAAATAGCCGACAAAGCCACTGGCCCAGTGATTAAGGGGATTTATCTATTTTGGCGACTCTTCTACTGAGGACCTCAACTTCTGCAGATGGATACTGAAATCTCAATTTATGCAGGATATAATTATTAAAAGTAAAGATACACAAGATATACATAGCTATTAAAGATTTATTCAGTGTGTCCATGCATGTGTGCGCATGCCGACACCCACAATCCCTCTCCCCCATCTGCCCATTCTCCGAGTTCATCCCTCAGGATGGGGATGGACTGCATGCTGAATTTCATAAATGTGCTGGGAGCACAGTGGTAGCAGAGCAACTGGGAAGCTTTTGACCCTCAGCCTAACTCTGCCTGGTCCACTCCCAGTTTTTTCACCAGCCTCCACTTCCCTTAAAGGAACTCAGATTGGAACCTGCGAGGAGTGAAGGTTTCTAGTTTCTGGCAGGATACCATGGAATTTCTGGTGCCAAAAGAATTGGTTCCCTGATGAGGTTGTTTTCACCAGACATTAAAACAAATGGTCAATTCAGTCGCTTAATTGGGGAAAACATTACTCCAGCCAGCTTCCTGGCATCTGTTATTCAAGATGACCGCTTTTTTTTTTTTTTTACTAAATGTTCAATTTTCAAAGTTATCAAACACCATGTAGACACAACACTAAACTAGACATTAGTCACCAGTCCAAAACGCAGATGAAGCGTAAAAATAATGAAATTATAGAGATTTCAATGAGAGAAGGGTAAGGGAAGAAGGAGGGAAGGGGAGTTATACAATGTATGAAAGTGAAATGTATCTAACAAGTGTTTTTTTTTTCCCCTTCAATCAAAGCCAGCTACTACCTTCCTACTAAATTCTACCTGGTGGGGATGCCTGGGTGGCTCAGCAGTTGAGGGCCTGTCTTTGGCCCTGTCTTTGGTCCTGGGATCTTGGGATCGAGTCCCACATCGGGCACCCTGCATGGAACTTGCCTCTCTCTTTGCCTGTGTCTCTGCCTCTTTCTCTCTGTGTCTCTCATGAATAAATAAAAAAATAAATAAAATAAAATAAAATAAAATAAATTCTACCTGGTGCAGCCTATCAGCAGAACGCTCATATACATAAAGCTCACATTAACACAACAGAAAATGTTTGTGGACCATTCCTTGAACACAAAGTTTTCTTGTTTTCTAATACTACCCAACTTTAACTTATTTTACTTGAAATTGTTTCCTATGTTTTTCAAACAAATTATTAAAGGAAACAGAACAGAAGGAACAGAAGAAAAGGAAAACATTCCTATAAGGATTGTTTTTTAAGATTTTAATATTACAAAATACTTTGTTACCTTCCTCTTCTCTCTTCCCATGATCCAGTTCTGCCCTGCCACACTATGTTTTTATGTTTTTCACATCTGCTTTCATTGGTTTTAATAAGGGAGCCCAGGGAGCCAACTCGACATGGCAAAAATGGTTGTTTCATTCCTTCTGGCCCATGGCAGAAGGGAAAATATTCCCATTTCAAAAATAGCGTGTTCTCAAGAGATTTCCATCTTAAATTTAAAAAATAGTGGACAGGGCAGCCCTGGTGGTGCAGCGGTTTGGCGCCGCCTGCAGCCCAGGGTGTGATCCTGGAGACCTGGGATAGAGTCCCGCATCGGGCTCCCTGCATGGAGCCTGCTTCTCCCTCTGCCTGTGTCTCTGCCTCTCCCTCTCTCTCTCTGTCTCTATGAATAGATAAATAAAATCTTAAAAAAATAGTGGACAGTCTGTCTTAAAGATGGCAAAATGCACTCTGGGCACTCCTGGAATTAGCATCCAGTTAAACTACGTGTACATGAGGTTTTCAACAATCTAGTAGAGCAGCTCATTTTACTTTTAGCAAAAGACAACATCCTATTTCTAAGCTATAATACTTCAGGTCCTATGGAAAAGCTTGAGGGATTTATATACCAGAAGTGGATTTTAATAATTAAGGACATTGCTAGTTATATCCATGAATCAATTCTAAAGGTATTAGTTATGGATTTAAAGCTATGGTGGAAAATATTTAGTGTAGAGCTTCATGTTCTCATATTAAGGAAGTTAATCCATCATCTCAGTAAAGCAATGGGAAGATAATTTTAGGCAGGTCTAAAATTTGCTTTTGTTTTCATTTGGGACCTCTTAGTAGCCAGGCGATATGAAAAGAGACAGATCAGAGAGATACACATCACATGTTCAACAGGAGAAAAACAAACCTTTTCTCTCTATGGAGCTCATTTATCTGGTAATGTGTAATGTACACAAGAACTAACCTGAGTCATTGCAAATAGATGACAAATTGCAGATATTTCTCTGGGGTTTGACTCCTGCAAAGAAAATAACCCAGCCGGTTAAACATGTCAACACCTACACTTATCTCCTACATTGTCAAGAGAATTCACAAATTCAGGCATCAAACGTGGACCAAAAATATTATAAGTTGGATATAATTGGCTGGATGAATTCCACAAAGACTAAAGGAATAAGAGTGTTTTCATTTTTTAGTTGGTCAGCTATAGAACTTGATTCTTTACTATTCTTTAGTATGTCACTGTCTGATCCCCTACTCCTCCCTCAAAATTTTTGTTGTCCCATGTCCAATCAATCCCTCTTCTGTCCAACATAAAAAGAACAGTGTGAATGCAAATTGAGCATAGAGACTTTAAATGCAATAGCCCTTACTGATAGATCCTCTTTCCTTCTCTGGGCACGGGAGTCCATGAACCCTCTAATGCTGGTCTTATTTCCTTATGCAAATGTATGTAAGAAATAATATTGATGTCATGATGTCATCACACATAGGCAAAAATGACAAAATTTAAAAACTATTTGCTCAACAACTACCATATTCTACAGACTTTGGAAGGTTCCAGATACAGACCCCGCTCTCAATGAACATGCAATATAGTAAGTCATAGTGGCCAGTAAATACAAAGTTATAATCAGGGCAAAATGGAGTGACAGCCAGGACAACAGACCACATAGGCATACAGAGGAAGCAGAGATGAATGGGAGATGAGATAAAGCCATGTTAGAACAAAAAACTTCATACATATTCACCTAGAAGGCACTTTCTCCTTTGGTAAAAGGAGAAGTACATATCTTCTTTGATTTGAAAAGAGCCCAAGGTTTATTCCCCTAAAAATCTTGCCTTCATTAATTTCATCCTTTTGGTGAAGTATAAGAAATCTATAGTAAATGTGAGAGGCAAATGCTGATAATGTATTAAGCAAAGTGCCAAGGGGAAAAGGTTGTTATATTAAGGGATATTTTGCTGTCCTTGTTAGGTCTGGTTTGGTCAGAATTATGAATGCAATGCCTGATTGCTATTTTATTTCTGTTGTACTTTATGAGTGCTTAATTATTCTTAAGAGAACAAGTTCGGACACAAACTAAAATTACAACTTGTGTTCATGCACATGAAATGGTTTCTGCCAGAATGACCTACGTGACGTTTGCGGTATAGGCATCATGCTTCAACTAAGAGTTTTGATTCTGTGAGCAAACTGAATTTGGCTGCCCAAAGTTACCTGACATGTTTCACAGCAATGTTAATCACACCAGAAGAGGCAGATTTCATTTTAAATATACTTGCCTTAGATGGTGAGTAGTAATGCTTTAAGTGTTCTCTACAACCATTGGTCTATTATTGTTCACTAAGTGTTATATGCCATCACCTCATCTTTCTCTAAGTTTTAGGGGTGCCTTTGTTTCCAGTGATATGTGTCTTTTGGCTATTCATTAATCCTGAGAATTTTTTTTCCTATTGCTAGGGCTGTTATCTGTCATTTCCCCCAAGTACATGGCCACAGGTCATCCTTTAAGTCATGAGTAAGAAAACTTTGTAAAGGGTCAAAAAGTAAATATTTTAGGCTTTGTAGACCATATAGTGGGCCACAACTACTCAACTCTCCTGTTCATTGTATTGGAAAAGTAGCCATAGATTAACATGTAAACAAATGAGCACGGCAGTGTTCCAATAAAACTTTATTTACAAAAATAGATAGTGGGCCATATTTGCTCTCCAGGCCACAGTCTGCCAATCCCTGCTTTACATCAACCAGAAGCCTTTGTTAAAAATATCACATATTCCTACTCTTGCACTAGGTACTTAAAACTACATCTCTTTTTTTTTATTTCAAAAGAGTCTGAGGTTCATTCCTCTAAGACTCTTTCCCTCATAAATTACATCCCAATGATAACCACTAGCACCAGCCTTTTAATCTCCCATGCTTCTTAACCATCTCAGAAACACTTGTGTAATCATTTCCTTTTATCTGCATACATGCTCATGTCAGTTATCTCTTTGTTTGCCTTATCTCTCCCCAAACTAGAAGATTCTTAAGGGTGGGCACTGTACCTGATCATGACTACATAGCCCCAAACACTTAGAACAACTTCAGGTACCCAGTGCATAAACATCTATTCATTAAGAACAGATTTCATTTTTAAAAAGTAGGAAAAAAGAGAAAGAAAACATAAATACCAGCCATTTGTTACTTTAGTTATAAAAAACAAATTCTTGATATTGATAGTAAGTCATACCTGATGCATTGAAGGTTTTTACTATAGTGATTTTAGTTTTTTCTGCAAAGAAGCAATTTAAATATTAGAGCAGAACTGTTCCTTGTTTTTAAAAAACAATTTTCCACGAGTACCATTTTAGTGAACTGCTAAGAAGATCGTACTGTTGACATCTTTCAGACACTACTGGTCATCCCAGAAGCAGAATAAACGGGAAGAGCATACACAGATCATATAGCATTGGAATAAGGTGGGTCTGGGATTTGGATTCCCATGTTTGCTGAGTTATATTACACCCATCACATACCCCGCTGCTTGTGTAATTCTACCGCAGTTTCCATGCGCTGCTGCTAGACAAATTAACGTGGACTTACATATCAAATATGTAGAATTAAGTCACTATCAGAACCTTCACGTGACAAGTTGTAAAGAAAAGCTGATTCAGAATAAGACTTAATGGAAACACAATACCTAAAATACTGTATACTCTACAATCAAGAAAGTATCCTGCTATTTTCTTTAGGAGCTAATATAATATTATCACCATTATATGGGTAGATAAAATTATTCTCAAAGAGGTTAAAACCACTCAACTACAGTCATGCAGTGAGCTCACAGCAGAACCAAGATGGAACTGTTCAAACCACAGGCAAATATTAATATACTCTGAAGCAGCAAACCTTAGATATATCTTCCCAACACACCCTGGGGACAGAGCCCATGGTTCATTTCTCAGATAATGGAGAGCCAGGTTCAGAAATCCATGCTTTAAGGTGGCCAGTTGAAAGAGGTTGTATTCGGGGCACAGATTTGCAAAGAAGATCTGTCTACTAGGGTGAGTGGCAAATTCTGAAGAAAACACAAAGCTCAGATCTTGGAGAAGCACTTAAGCATGATGACATTACACCAACAGTTTCTGGAACCTCATTTGTGTTATGTGTTATTGGTGAATTTATGTTTCAATGTGGGCCTGACTCATGGGTAATGGCTGGTGGTAATTATAAAGGCTGATGGTATTTTGCATTATCATTAAGAATCTTTTAAATATATTATTTGGGTTGCCCTGATACTTTTCTTCCCAGAACAAACAAAACACATCTGTGAAATGAACTTCTGGTTCTAGTAACATAAGTGCTTTTGGGGAAAAATGTTCAACATCACCAATCAAGAATATAAAATAGAACCAAAGGATTGAAAGATCTAATAATATATGATATAGTCTCAGCTCTTAGCAAAGGTATAGTGACACATTCTCATTCACTGCTGGCAAGAATGTTGCTGGGTACAAGCTTTCAAGAAGGTAACTGGGCAATAGGTAGATCAAGGACCTAACCTATTAAATTCAATCCTTAGAACGCATCCTACAGAAATCAGGAATGAATGCAAAATGTTGGCACAAGTATGTTCATTGCAACAATTTCTTTTTTTTTTCATTGCAACATTTTCTATTAAAAAAGTAAAAACAGCTTTAATAATGCTCAACATATGGTACACAATGGAATACTATCAAGTCATTAATAATAATGAACGATGGAAAATGCTTATAACTTAATATGAAGTCAAAAGGGTAAGACATAAAAATCTATATATGCTATGACTATTGTTTAAAGGATTATATATGATCCTGAATGGAAATATACCAAATTATTAATAGGAATAGTCTTAGGAAAGTAACATTAAGAGATGATTTCTATTTTTTTCATTGTATTTTTCTATATTCTCCATTTGTTATGAGCTAAGATATATTACTATTACACAATTTTTTTAAATGTTATTTTAAACGGAGTGCTATGGCTGTTAACAGTTTGGAAGTTCAGCAATGAGGTAACACCAGAATGTCAATGTCAAAGTAAAAGGAGTAGTAAATCAACAACTGAAGGCACAGGAAGTAGGCAAGGAGACAACCTTTAGCAACCCAGAAGACTGACCACACAAGGGAGAACCCAAGAAGACACAGAAGACAAGCTAGTATATTTAGAAAGAACTTGATATTACCTGTTTTGTTTAAAGTAGATAATACGCTTGAAGTAGCATCTGAAATAAAATAATAAAAATTAAACCTAAGTATTGACATGATTAACAAACACATGTATCTTCTAGGTTCCTTAAACATTTCACTTTTCCCCAATCCCAGGGAAGCTAGAGTTTTGCAAAAGCCAACTGACACTACCATGTATTTGCTGCCCTCAACCCTCAGACACAATTCCTGAGCGACTATTCATTCATTTAAAATGTGCTTCCTGAACATAGGTTATGTGTCTAAAACATAGCAACATTCCTATAATTATTAGATTTAAACAAACCCATTTATGTCACTTCATATTTTGTTCCTTTTTACTCCATTATAATGCAAGTCCCTAAGGAATATGTTTCTAGTTAATACCAACTTTATAGCCCTGTGGATGCTTAATGGTACACTCTTCTAAAGCAATCTTTAAGTAATTCTAGTTTAAAATTGAAGTTCTTGAACATTGCATTTAACTAACTTTTTGAAAAATCTCATTTTGATCTCTTTTCCCTTAAAATCCAATTGAAACTCTATTCTAATTGCTATTTCTTTAAATAAATATCATTCTGTAATTTATTATTCTAGATGAAACATTAGGAGCGAAAAACACATATTACATTACCACACTTAAAAAACCACATACAATAAATCCAAAAACTACTGCCAAGGCTATTTTGAAGATTTTCTTGCAGTGTAAAAAGTCATTAATCATAAAAACAATAATACCTTCCCCTTCCCATTGGATCAAATATGAATTTAAACCAGTTTTGATCAGTCTGAACTCCATCTATGATTGTTTAGCAACTTAACCACCAACCACATGGTGAGATTTTTATTTTAATTAAGTAAGGGAGTGTGAAAAGTGTTGGGGTTTGCCTGCACAGAGATAAAAGCAGTCTACTCACAAAGGGGAGGGCACGGAATGGGTTGACCTGTCCACCTCCCTCAAACACAGCCTCTTTCTCCATCATGATGAAGCAGCCAGGTTTGTTTTTTTTCATGTCATACTACTTAAAAATTGATAAAATTATCTGTAAAAGGGCTGTCTTTAAAAACTCTGTGCCTCCAAATCCATGCTGAATCATACTGAAGTCACTGGATTTAAACAAATGTTTCCACATTTAAACAATCTGCCATATAAAATGTACTGGCACTGTGTTGAAGCAAGAGAAATAGGGTACTCAAAATGTGATCAGTATTTCTTCCCTTTTACAGAACAGTTAGCGTGGTAGGGGGCTGGCCTCCCTCCGTGATAAGAAGAATGTTTTCATTTAACCTTAAAAGTATGGCATGCTCTGCAGGGTTGACAGTTTGTGGGTTTATTTGATTTGGTGGTTTTTTTTTGTTATTTGAATATGAAAACCTTCAACACCACTCATTATATCTATAATTCATATTCAATTTTCACTTGCTTCAGAAAAATTCTTACCATTTAGGCTTGTAGTTTCAACCTCTTTGGCCCCGGGAGGGGGGGGGAACAATAGAAAGGTATAATTAAATCCAAAGCTTAACAAATTGGGCTAAATCTAGGTTTGAATTTTTTCAAAATCTTGCCTGGAGTACCATTGGAGTAGGGGACAAAACCAACAAAAGATGATTCAACTGTAAGAGGAAAAAACAACAAAATTTTCAAATTAATATTTTGAAACAATTATTGATTGAATTCTAAGGAGTTAAAACTTTTGAGATAGAATTATGAAAAGAAGTAGACAACATGCTTTCAGACCAATATGAATCTGCAAGCCCCATAATCACTCAGAGAATATACACTTAGCCAGAGAATTACGGAGAAAGAACCCAAGAAATGAAATGAGTGCAGCTGTCTCATTGTACAGATGAAGAACTTGAGACTTATCCCTCAAAGCCTGCTCCTACCTATGCAATATTATGGAAATAACTTTAGAAACCACAGAAAAATATGTAACATACCACTTTCAAATTTTTTCAGCCAGAGAATTCTCAAAAACATTTTATATTTTATATTTTAAAAAATTGCCAAACTACAATTATAAAACGTATAAGCACATTGGCTCCATTTTGTCATAATAACACCTGGCAACACTTCCCATTGTGAATTGAGGATTAAAAACACAAAACAACAACTCTGCTACCATTCAGTACAGTACCACCTAACACAATTTCCTGGTAAGTTATTTTAAAATACGGCTGCTATTGGGATGCCTGGGTGGCACACTGTTAAACGCCTTCCTTTGGCTCAGGTCATGATCCCAGGGTCCTGGGATCGAGCCCTGCATTGGGCTCCCTGCTCAACAGCGAACCTGCTTCTCCCTCTGCTTCTCCCCCTGCTTGTGCACTCTCTCTCTCTCTCTCTCTCTCTCTGTCAAATAAATAAATAATAAAATATTTAAAAATAAAATATGGCTGCCATTAAGGCAATCAATCAAGTTATAAATTTCCCATGGAGTAAATCCACTAAGCTAAGAGGTCAATCTACTACACACATTTTGCATGTTTAAATATTTAAAAGATCCCATGGCTTGACTTCTATGTATACACAGGAAAAGTAAACAAACATTTTACAAGACATACAAGCTTTGTAGTAGGCAGCCTGATATTCAGTGGGTAAGGACAACATTTGGGTGTGTCAAGGCGCTTGGCTGGCCGGTATGTTTTAGACTGCTCATGCGTTGGCTGAAACACACACACCCTGTCTGTCCTACATTATTGCTTCCATATGTTGTCAGTTACTACATTTTTTTTAATTACCAAGGATATTTCTTAAGAAATATGACAGTTCCTGAGCAATAAGATTCAAAGTGTGGATATGGAATCCTTTGGAGAATCTTTTGGGGGAATCTTGGAGCAAAACAAAATAATAGGCCAAAGCTGGTTGTTAATGAACGAATATTAATTCCTCTGAAAGGTGATGAATGGTAAGAAGAAGCCTGTGTACACAATCCCCTGCAAGTCCCTGGATGTGCACAGGGTCTTATATTCCAGTTAGTGCAGGGCACCCAGAACCCAGGCTTTGACTGGACCCAGTGTGTGCCTTCAAATCTCCATACCCCATATTTCCATGCAAACAAGATTTGGCTATGATAGCACCATGATGAAGTCTGAGGATGGTAACTGTACTAGGAGAAAAATACAGTGGTTCATTTTACCCTAGGAGCTTAACAGCAAGGGGGCAAATTGGCATAGTCAAAAAAGCTTAGGCTTTGGAGCCTTGCAATCCTGGCTTGAATCTTTGCCCCGTTACTTAATCACTCATAATAATGATCGTTATTACCTATTAAAGGCTTACCCTGGGTCAGGTGCATATGTTATCTCATTTCATTTTCACAACTACCCTATGAAGCAGGTACTATTACATTACCCTATTCATAGATGAAGGGACTGAGGCACAGAAAGGTGAAGAAACTTGCCCAAAGCCACACAGCTAGCAACGGGGTAGGAGGGTGGTGGCCAAGTCAAATACAAGTAGTGGCTCCACAGAATATGTGAACGTGAGCAAGTTTTATCCTCTCTGACCCTCAGCTTTCCTTGTCTAGGAATATAATAATTCCTATACTGTGGGACACCTGGGTGGCTTAGTGATTAAGCATCTGCCTTCGGCTTGGGTCGTGGTCCCGGGGTCCTGGGATTGAGTCCTATATCGGGCTCCCCACAGGGAGCCTGCTTCTCCCTCTGCCTGTGTCTCTGCCTCTCTCTCTCTCTGTCTCCCATGAATAAATAAATAAAATCTTTAAAATAATAATAATAATAATTCCTATACCATAAGACTGGAAGCTGAATGAGAGGTCTGTAGACTTCCAAGCATGTAGTATGTGCATAAGAAGTAATAGCTATCATTATTAATTTTATTTAAATGAATTAACAGCAGAAGCTCATTTTGATACAACTAAGGATAGCATGTGAGTGGACTCACTCCTTACCATAAAGGATTGTTCTACAATATATGGTATACCAGAAAGAATGCAGGAGGAGGCAGAAAAGTCATGTGCTGCCTGTGCATAACGGGGCCAGGAAGCTGTGTGACCTTAGGTAAGTTACTCGGGCTTCACTATCTTGTCATCTCTCACCATACAGGGCTGGACCATTTTATCACTGAGTTCCAGTTCTGGTTCTAGCTAGCAGTCTCAAATGTGGGTTCTACTGGCTCCTGCCAAGAGGATCCTAGTTAAAACTCTCTCTTTATTTGCCTTCCCATTCTCTGGGGGCTAAGTCCTCAGAAGTCCTTTGAAAAGTGTTTGTTCAAAAGCGACTGAGGAAGTATATTTAAGAGAACATCTCATCCCTCAAATATGCAGGAACATTCGGCAGGTTTACATTCTTGATACTCTTCAGGAGACCTGTGAACTAGACTAAAAATAACGTTGAAGAACTTAAGCAGGCCTCCAAATGAAAACCCAGAATTTATTCCTCAGCTTTGTCCATAATTGTGGGGGGACCAAGATGTCTGTCCTCTTGTCTATGTGTGCTATTGACTTTTCAGTTGTAGGTTTCATGACAGAATTGAATCAACCTGCATGGAAAAAAGCAATTTTGCTGTATCTGACACATGCCATACTGCATGGAGAACTTTTGAAATATTTTCCTGAAATTCCCCAAAGCCATGAAAAAATAGTCTTACCAGATGGTGATAACAAACTGGAATTATCAGCATTCTCTGTTGAGGAAAAAGGTTATTTAAAGTTAGTTTGTGCATGAATTTGTAGATGAACATCTTTAACAGGACTGAATGTAAAATGAGTTCCAAATGGCTACCAAAAGAGGGCAGTGTATTAATTTACTATTATCTTCAACCGCCTCATCAGTACTTCTCAACTCAATTCTCTACAGACACATCTCTGGTGAAGCAATTCTTCCAATTTAAATGGTGACGGTGCTCTCTCTATTCTGTTATATAATCACAAATATAAGTGTATTTTAAACTTAAAATGACTAAGAACTTCAATTGTCAGCTAATATTCATTAGAATTTGTAAAAGTAAATGGGTGCCTGGGTGGTTCAGTGGGTGAAGCGTCGCACTCCGTTTCCACTCAGGTCATGATCTCAGGGTAGTGGGATCAAGCCCAACCCCCTCAGCAGGGAGTCTGCTTGAGATTCTCTCTCCCTCTAAAATAAATAAATAAATAAAAATCTTTAAGAAAAAGAAAAGAATTTGTAAAAGTAAAGGTATACATCTGCATAAACTAAACTTTCATTAACCGTGCTTCCTTGTATACCTATTAGCACAGCCTTTACGGTATACCTAGTAAGCCACTACTTCTTTCTTAGGAGTTAAACCAGCTCAGATGCCTCTGGGTTTATAACAAGTTTACAAGAACTGCTGATATTTACTTTCCGAGGATGCTCAGATTCCTTAAAAGGGATTCTATTTTTTTCTCTCTGAAAAACAACACACACTTACGGGAGCAACTACAGATAAATTACTGATAAACAAAAAAGAAAATTAAAACCACCTATAATTTCACCACCCAGATATAAATGACATTAACATTTTGGCATATATTCTTTGGTCACTCTCTTTCTCCATGTTTATATGTCTATGTGTATGATATGTATTTATATGTGTGAGAAAGATCATATTACATAATTTGTAACCTGATTTTTCTCATGACAGCGTATCTTGAACATTGTTCTATATCATTAAGCAACTTTCCACAATAACACTTGTGATCACTGTATAACATTTCACTGACTGGATATACCATTAATTTACACAACAAATTTCACTTTAATACATACAATTTTTCATGATTATAAACAATATTGCAATAAATTTGGCTAAATTTTTGCAATACATACTTGGCTGCTTCCTTCAGAAATTCCATGATTTTGATTGCCAAAATGCCCAGAAAACAAACCAATTTATACAACCCTCTGCAGCACATGAGTGTTACTTTCCCAAACTCTCACCCATGTGAGGTATTATCTTAAAATTAAAAAAAAAATTAATTACAAAGGAATGATTATTTCTATAGTGGGTATCTTAAAACACAATTTTAGAAAAAGAATATGTATGGAGGTGCCAGGGTGGCTCAGCTAACTGGGTGTTGGGACTCTTCATTTCAGCTTGGGTTGTGATCTCAGGGGTTGTGGGATCAAGCCCCATGTCAGGCTCCCTGCTCGGCAGGGAGTCTGCTTGAGATTCTCTCTCTCTCTGCCTCTCTCAAGAGTACTCTCTCACTCTCTCTCTAAACTAAATAAATCTATCTCTTTTTTTTGAAGATTTTATTTATTTATTTGACAGAGAGAGAGAAAGAGCACAAGCTGGGGGAGGGGCATAGGGAGGAGAAGCAGATTCCCCACTGAGAAGGGAACCCAATGCGGGGCTCAATTCCAGGACTCCGGGATCATGACCTGAGCTGAAGGCAGATACTTAACCGACTGAGCCACGCAGGTGCCCCAATAAATCCATCCTTTAAAAAAATATGCATATTTAGAAATCAAAATTGCACAGTGAAACATAGCTGGTAGGCTCCAGGAGCCCATTTTCCTGAAGTGGTGGTAGGGTACTGACTATTTTCTGGGATCATTAAAATACAATTCTGCTTGAAAACAAGACTGAATGAGTGCTCAAGTTCCCAATTACTCCACAGCCAACAAGGCAAATGTACGCACAATGGTTAGTGCCTTGATGCCTCAATTTAATTGGAGTTGCCTCCTCTTAGTCTCTGTCCTCCAATATCTCTCTCAGGCTACTTTAACATTCCACCAGTTAAAGTGTCTATTAACAGCTTAATTTTTAAAATATTCTTAGGAGCACTAAGGGAAAATCAGTCATACACACCCTAGTATGAATTACCTCTAACCGGCTGAATTTTTCCAATCATGTAGTAAAGACCTACCATACCACACCATGTTGAAAAGTACTGGGAAGAATCAATATTCAGTATGGGCTACTCTGAGAATGGCACTTGTCAGTGTGGGTAGGTGAGGTGGAGTGGGCCAGGACTGTGGCACAGGCAGAGAAGAGCATGAAGGCCTGAGGAAGAGTTGCATACCAGGAAAGAGGGGTGGAGAGTAATGTTCAAGGTCAACAGAGGCTTATACTGCTGCCTCTACAAATTTACCAGTGGTTGACCATAGCCGCCAATAGTTCCAACCTCCTCCACTGCTAAATCCTCTGACCCCATAGGCAGAGCTGGCCTCTTCCATCTTGGAACCTTGCAGGGCTCCCAGCAACAATCTACACTGATGAAGGGAGGAAATCTGGTTAATAAAAGCCAGAGATTCTCAAATTGTTATTGTCCACTTTTTTTCTTTTGGCATTTTTTTTCTTCTAGGGGCCTGATTGCTTAGTGACTAACATTTTATTCATTTTTTTCTGTCTCTCATTATAATACTCCACATCACTCCTCCTGGTCCAAAACAGAGATGTTCCCATAGGCCTTACATTTTCCTGACTATCAGCCTGTTTCTCTTGGGTGCTCTCCTAATTCACTTCCCATTTCTTACAACCAAAGAGGTGGTCGTCATTTCCACTGAGTCATATAGTTGAGCTCCATGCCATTCTTAGGAGACAAAACATTTCCATTGTTACAAGGATTCATAAACAAAGAAAGGAAAAACATTTAAATTTTTCAGATTTTCCTTTGGAAACCTACAAAGAGCACATTTTAAAGCATTATTCATTTATTGAAGTCTCCATTTAAGTCAATAAATAGAATTATTGGGGGTGCCCGGGTGGCTCGAGCATCCAACTCTTGGTTTCACCTCAGGTCATGATCTCAGGGTTGTGGGACTAAGCCCCGAGTCGGGGCTCCATACTCAGTGGGGAGTCTGCTTGAGTTTCTCCCTCCCTCTCCCTTTGCTCCTCCCCACCCTGCTCCCTCTTCTCTTTCTCTCTCTAAAATAAATAAATCTTTTAAAAAATTAATACATAAATAAAATTCTTATGGTCTGTCTATAAAATTTACCCAGTTATGACTCTAGTGATTTTTTTTAAAACAAAGTCCATATATTCCAATTATGATGAGCAGGAGTTTGGCATGCATATGCTTAGAATGAAAGCCAAAGACAGCAACTGGAAACTCAAGACACCAGCCTCTCAACAGAGTCTCTTCTCCTCCGTCACCTTCCTGGCACTTTCTTTCAGCTATTGTCACCACCTCCTCAACTCCAATCCCATGCGGCCAAGTGTGGTCTAAGCACTGCCATGTGAACGCCTTACTGTGTTTGCCTCTCCAATTCCATATATCCCAGAACTCCTCGCTCACCACCTCTCCTCATTTCCATACCTGCTGACTTCTCAAATTTGATAGTGTTGCTGATAACATCAGCCAAATAATTTAAGGTGGAAATCTCAGTATATTAGCTTCCTGCTGCTGCTATAACATATTACCTCCACTGAACTTAGCAGTTTAAGACAAGACGAATGTATGATGCTAGAGTTCTAGGTCAGGAGTCCAATACTGGTCTCACCAGATTAAAATCAGGGTGTCAACAGGCTACATTCTTTTCTGGAAGCTCTAGGGGAGAATCTGTGTCCTGCTTATCTGGGTTACTACAGGATTCAGTTCCTTGCAGTTGTAGGACCAACATACTCATTTGCTTCCTGGCTATAAATTAAGAGCCATTCCCAGTCTAGAAGCTACTCACATTTCTCCGTTCATGCCTCATTCCTCCATCTTCAAAGACAGCAGCAGTGGGATGGAATGGGAGGGGGACTCCTTCACCTGGGGCATCCTTCTCACTCACTCTTCTGCCTTCCTCTTCCACTTTTAAGAACTCCCATGATTAGACTGGGCCCACCCAGGTAATCCATGATAATCTCCCCATCTCAACAGTCCTTAACTTCAATCACACTTGCAAAGTCCCTTTTGTTATATAAGGTAACATATTTGCAGATCCCAGGTATTAGTACAGGGACACGTCTTTGAGGAGCCATTATTCTTCCTACCATACTCAGAAATCCAGTTTTTTTAAACTATAGAAAATAGGAGTTGCAAGGAACCACCCTCAATGGAAAAAATAAATCCCACAGGGGTTAAGTGAAGGGCGTGGAAACCCAGAGTTTGTTTCAGCAGGAGAGCTGAGTGTACAAACCAAATGTTCACTCTTTGACCGTTACCTCTGACCCTTCCCTTTCCCCTACCCCCCACTTCTATGTCCAGGCATCCTTCCCATGCATTCTTCTCCCCATAACATGGGGCTATTGCAAGGATTAAAGAGAGATGATGTATGTGTGATACATAGAAAACAGTAGTTGATGCTTCCCGTGAGCCAGGCTTAACCCTTATATGCAATATATTATTTAAGCAGCCAACAACTCCATGAGATATGTGAATTCATTAGCATCAATCCATTTTAGTGCTTGAGAAACAGTCCGGGTAAGGTGTACTGGGCCCCACCAGTAATTCACTGTACAGCTTACATTTGAACTCAGGCAGTCCAACTTCAGAGCCTACCCTCTGAGCCTCCATTCTGTCCTGCTTCCAATGACAAACTCTGTAGACCATAAACTAGTATATAAATGTAGGGTATTATTATTAATATTCCCTAATTTCTCCCTCATCTGTCCCTTCTTTCCTTGCCCACTGCCAACTTCCAAGCCCAGGTTTTGATCACCTCATACGTGACTGAAATATTAGAGCCCCAGAATCTTCTCATTGGAAAGGATCTTAATGTTCTTTATATTTTGACTTCTTGCCCATTGCACTA